CAGGGGGTGTGAAAGAAAATCCCATCTGTCTGGACTCTTAAAAGCACTTTTTCCTTTAGCAGAATTGATTTCTCTATTTCTGAAACATCTCTAAGATGTTCTGAATATAGAAAAAAAAAAAAAAGAGAAATAGAGATAAAGAGAGAAAATAGAGAAGTAGGCCCCAATCACAATTCTTCTTTCTCTTCTACTACAATTTGTTTGCCATTTTAATCAGTCTTGGGCATGGTGACTGCACACACACACCTTAGTAGACAGACACAAAAAATAATTTTTTGTAAAAGACCGTTGTCATGTTCTAAAATGGACACATTTATAAAAAGTCCTATGCTAAAGAGAGTTAAGAACTTTTCAGAATTTTTGCTAAGCTGTTGCTTAATCACAGAGTCACAGAATACACTGAGTTGGAAGGAAACCACAAGGACCATTGAGTCCAACCCTTAACCCTGCTCAGGACCATCTCCAAGAGTCACACCATGTGCCTGAGAGTATCATCCAAATGCCTCTTGAACTCTGTCAGGCTTGGTGCTGTGACCACTGCCCTGGGGAGCCTGTTCAGTGCCCAACCACCCTCTGGGGGAAGAACCTTTTTCTAATATCCAATCTAAACCTCCCCTGACACAACTTCAGGCCATTCCTTCAGGTTCTGTCACTGGTCACAAAGGAGAAGAAATCAGTGTCTGCCCCTCCTCTTCCCCTCACAAGGAAGTTGTAACTGCAATGAGCTCTCCCCTCAGTTTCCTCCAGACTGAACACACCAAGTGCCCTCAGCTGCCCCTCACACGGCTTCAAATCAAGGCCCTTCATCATCTTCACTGCCCTGCTTTGGAAACTCTCTAATGGCTTCATATCTTTCTTATATTGCAGTGCCCCAAACTGCCACAATATTCAGGGTGAGACCGCCCCAGGTCAGAGCAGAGCAGGACAATCCCCTCCCTCACCTGGCTGGTGATGCTCTGCCCAATGCCCCCAGGACAGGGTTGGCCCTCCTGACTGCCAGGGCACTGCTGACTCAGATTCAACTTGCCATAGACCAGAATCCCCAGGGCCCTTTCCCAGCACTGCTTTCCAGCATCTCATTCCACAGTCTGTACATACATCCATGGTTGCCCCATCCCAGGTGCAGAATCAGCACTTCCCCTCATTGAACTTCCTATGGTTGGTGATTGCCTAGTCCTGATTTGTCCAGGTTTCTCTGCAGGGTCTCCCTGCCTCCAAGGGAGTCAACAGCTCCACCCAGTTTTGTGTCATCTGCAGACTTGCTCAGGATCCCTTCCAGTCCTGCGTTTGAATCATTTATGAAGATGCTGAAGAGCACAGGGCCTGAGATGGAGCCCTGCAGAATCCCTCTAGCTGTACCAGCTGCGTGACACTCCCAGTTAATTTCTGGTAAGTTGAAGTCCCCCATAAGGACAGCGGCAGTTGACTTGGAAGTGTCCCTTAGTCCCTCAAAGAGTAATTCATCAGCATCATCATCCTGGCGGGGAGGTCTGTGGCAGACTCTCACAATGACATCTGCATCATTTGTTTGCCCCTTGATTCTTACCCAGAGGTTCCCAACTGTGCCATTGCCAACTGTGAGCTCCATCATCCTGACCTTTCTACTACACACAGTGCCACCCTTCTGCCTCTTCTGCCCTGCCTGTCCCTCCTGAAGAGCCTGGAACGAACCAACAGGGCACTCTAGTCACAGGTCTCATCCCACCAGGTTTCACTTATGCCAATGATGTCAAATCTCTCTTCAAAGCTGGAATTTACAGGCATGTGATGGGACACAAAAAGGCAGCTTCTTATCTGGGTCTGCTCTATTTCATACAAGCCAATGTGGTAAACAACACAGGGGCAAAAGCTTTGGCCTGCTTCTACCAGAAGTTTTGATAAGCAACTATCACCCAAGTTATTCACCAGGTCTTACAGGAGATGTAAAAACACCCACCTAGAAATCTGGCTCACAACAAAGCAATGGAGAATTTCTCATTTCTGAGGTTTGGATGCTGCGATTCAGCAGCAGTCTATGAGCAAGAAATTCCCTTGTCAGAGCTAATTTTTAAAATATCCCAAAGTTTGCTGAAATCTAGAGGAAATGCCAAAATTGCCAGCAGTGTGATGGAGCCTGGGACGATGCTCTGAATCTGCAGGATATCCAACAACACAATCTGTAGCCAAATAAAATGAAAATCTCTTCTTTCTGCCTTCTAAAACCCAAAGAAATCCTCAATTGCAAGGGTACTGGAAGGTGCAAAGTATTAATAATGAAAAATAAAAATCTTAAAATAAATTTCCATCTTCCCACTAACACCAGTTTAAGACCACTAAAAAACCATAGCACGTGCTATCAGATCTGTTACCATCTACTGGTCTTGAATAAATACAGTTTTATTGGTGTAGAAAAACTCCTCTGGCATATGGAAAGATGAAAATTTGGCATATATCAAATGGAAAGACATATCAAGCTCCTGACAGCTCTAACAGCTCATTTCTGGAAAAGGTGTACAGCTGTTCCAAAGTTCAGGTAAATTCTTCCAGAAAAGTTATTCCCAAATTTTTGGCATCACTTAGATCAGAGAAGACACAAAATTTAGCCTGCTACATTACACTTCCACAACAAAACTATTTTTTCAAGAAGTCCTTATTTTCTATTCCATCATGCCATGGCTGCACATACATGGGCTACATGTATCTAATGCATTTTCCCCTCACAAGAGCTTTTAAGACCGTCTCTCATCACATCCCCATGGACAAACTGATGCAGTCCAGGCTAGGAAAGTGGACAGTCAGGTAGACTTACAACTGCTCAAATGCTGAGCTCACAGGGTTGCCATCAGCCACATGAAGTCCACTTGGAGGCCAATCACTAGCAGTGAACCACAAGGATTGACAGTGGGGCTGATACTGTTTAACATCTTCACTAATTACCTGGACAATGGGGCACAGTGTCCCCTCAGGAAGTCTGCACACAATACATAACTGGGAGGAGTGGTTGATACAGCAGATGGGTCTGCAAGTGGGTCTGCTGCCACTCAGAGACACCCTGACTGACTAGAGGAATGGACTGACAAGAAATTCGTGAAGTTCAGCAAAGGGAAATATCAAATCCAACACCTGGGGAGGAATAAAACTATGCCTTTCCTTACACTGGGAACTAACCGTATGGAAAGCAACTTGGAAGAGATCACCCTGTCATTTGCCTTTTGTGCAAAGACCTACAGCACCTGGGACTGCATTAGGGAGAGGCTCACTAGTTGGTTAAGCGAGATACTCTATCCCTTCTATTCCTCTATTCTCAGATCACATCTGGGTGCCTGGGTTCAGTTCTGAGCTGGCCACCACAAGAAAGCCATGGGTGTACTGGAAAAAGTCCACTGAAGCACCACACAAAACTGATGATGGGAAGAAAGCATCTGTAATACAAACAACTATCTAGAAGAGCTGGGTATGTTTACTCTCAAGAGAAGAAAGCTCAGCAGGGATCATAACAATGTGTATAAATACCTGATGAGGGGGTAGTACAGAAAATGCAGTCAGACTCTGACCTTTCAAGTCACTCAAGAGTGACTAGCAAAAGGATAAAAAACAACACACACAAACTGAAATACAAGAAGTTCTGTTTAAACATCAAAAAAAGCTTTTTTAATAGCTAGGCTGGTCAAGCACTGGGACCAACTGCCCGGAGAGCTTGCAGAGTGTTCATCCTTTCAGATATTTAAAATAGGGAGTGGACACAGTCCAGACCAACCTGATCTATTTGATCTGCTCTTAGACAGAGGGAGGTTGGACTGAATGATCTCCAGAGGCATCTTCAAGCCTCAACTCTCCTGTAATTTCATGGTTCTTTGAAACTCTCAGCCAAGTGTACCAAGAATTCAGCATCACTGAAAATGGACTGCTTTACAAAAATATTCATAACATTCTTTATTGTCCCTTTTTGCATAACTTGGATTTTCTTCCCGGCCTTCCCAGCCTACCCACCATTAAATTTCTGGTAGCTGTTTTCACTTGGTACCTCAGTACTGAGAAGGCCTTCTCTTCAGCCTCCTGTCAGCCACAGTAAGAGCTGCTCTCAGAAGACCATAATCAAAGCGTGCAAAAGCCATTCAACCAGTAAATGTTACGTCCTCTGAGCAGGAAAACTGGGAACCATGACGATCTTACCTGCATCAGCAATATGCTATCTGCACATGTACTCCCAGAGCAAAGTCAAGCCAATCCTCAGCTTGACCACAGTTTTAACATCCCCAGCCATGCCTTAGAAGCAAAGCCAACACAGGCCTCACCTCGAACTTTCACGACAAATCAGAAAACCCCTCCTCCTAAACCAGAAACAACCTGATTCCCAACCTCACAAACTTAACTTTAGACAGCCTGCTACACTGTTTCCAATGCTACTAGAAGGAGAAAGATCCTGTCCAATGCTAAAGGTCCTTTCCTTCCACACTAAGGAAAGTTTTTGTGGAATTTCAACTTTATTTGCAATGCAGACAGCTATGTTATTGAAATCAGTAAGGCTCCTCAGGAAAGAAGATACAATTTGATATAATAACAAAGAAAAGCAGTTCTGATATGAGAGATACTACATGCCACAGTCTTAAACTGTATGTATATCTATTTTGATGCAACCAAAGGCTTGTAATGTCCAAGAATCAGTGACAAATAGCCATCTGTCTTTTCTCAGTATTAATCAACTCAGATGACATTTTTTAATTAATTATCACCTGAGTAGTATTTATGAGGCCCATTAACAGACCAAAATCATGCTGGTATAGGTATCTGATCCTTGCAACACTTGGAAATCTGTTTTGAGGATTAGACATCAAGGTATGCATCTTTCCCTGGTTCTAAAAGCAAAACATTAATAAAACAATTAGAAATTAAAGCCTTCTGAGAACTCAGTAAACTCTTCCACCCTGATATTTAGTTAGCATTTTATTTACAATGGGCAATATTTCTTTGAAAAACTATTCCAGCTCCCACCTCTGCAGCACGGAGAGTATTCATCTTACCTGAAAATAGAAGAAAGCTTGGCCAAACCAGTAGTGCATGATAGTAATCTGTGCCGCATCAGATTTCAAAGGTCTCCAAATGTATTTTGTCATCATTGTCTGAATCAGCAGGCAAAACACCAAGACTGGTAAATTGTGAGGTCTAAATAGAAGGGCTGCTAGCAGAACCAATCCGCTATATACTTCCCATAATCCTGTGTTCTTCATGCTGGAGTCTGCAGAAATAACCTGTGACTTTAGTAAATCTTTAGTGCCAGTGAAGACTATGCCAAGAACAAAGACATAAACAAAACGAGCTTCAGTGATCCCCCTAAAGAGAAAATAAAATTGGAATAAATAAATAAATAAATAAATAAATAAAAGATGAGTTATTTACTAATACTTACTCCACACAGTCTTTCAAGAGAGGTCAAGACCAACCAGTTCTGCCAAACAGGTCAAAATCTAAGGCTGGTACTGGCCAACTTCATGAGAGAGCTTTCTCCAACACAAAAACCCTAGGAAGGGTTCATACCTGAATTAAAACAACTCCAAATCGACTTCAGCAAAGAAAAAAGCTTGTGCTAAAAAACTAAAATAATCTAAAATATAAAAATAAAATTGTATTTCACAGATTTCACAGAATATTCTGAGTTGGAAGGGACTCACACTGATCATCAAGTCGAACCCTTAAGTCACTCTCCCATACAAGGATCGAACAACTAATGTAACCAAAATAAATTTATGCTAATACTATTCAAGACCTAGATCCATAAATATATCCATATAAATATGCCATTTATATAGCATAATGAATGTTAATAAAAAATACTCCTGCGAGAGATATGGAAACTTTATTTCAGAAATTAAATTGACTTAAAAATTCCTATATCTTTTAAACTGTTCAGTGATTTTTCACAACTCATTCACACAAATATGCTTCTTTTTAGCCCACTAAAACAACAGTGAGAGTATTTGAAGATCCTTATTTCAGTCTGAAATCTTTGCACACTTCAGACATTTTCTCACCTTACACAGCTGTGTAGATGTACATATGTGCTGTTTTATACCAGCATATTTTTTCCTTGTTAAGTGTAGAGACTTTTCAAATCCATTTGAAAAAAGTAATTCCACTACAAAAAAACCCTGAGTTTTAAGTAGTAAGTGTAACTGGCATTTATGCTATTTTCAAACCACCTATTAATTCATTTGCCTCTTAATTACCAGTGAAAGGCAGCTTCAACTAAAACACAGCATGTAGTCCAAAAAGTTGATAAGGACAAGGACTAGTAAGCTTAAAAACTGTGACCTGCTATTTTAGAAGAGCAAGGTCTGAAAAACTAAGAAAGCGAAAGCAAATATCTGTCAAAATGTAGTGATATTCTCATGTTTTCTGGGCCAAAAATCCCCAGATCACATTAGAGTGCACTAGGCTGGCAATAATCCAATGAATTCACCAAATGAGCACGTGAGAAAAATCTGTGGTTACAGATCTATTTTTTTATCTTGCAAAAGATAAAAATGCACATTATCTACACACTTAATCTGTAATTTAATATACATTATCCTTAGGTTTCACAGGATCACTGACACACAGAATGGGTCAGGTTGAAAGGGACTACAGAGGGTCCTCTGCTCCAGCCTCCAGCAGGTTGGCCCCCAACCAGGTGCAGGACCCTGCATTTGCCTTTATTGGAATTTCTGGTTATTCTCTGCCCAACTCTCCAACCTGTCGAGGTCCTTCTGAAGGGCTGCACAGCCCTCTGGGGTACTGGCCACTCCTCCCAGCTTTGTATCACCAGTGAACTTTCTGAGGAGCCATCTGCCCCTTCATCCAGCTCATTGATTAACAAGTTAAACCATACTGGGCCCAGTATTGAACCTTGGGGGACAGCACTAGTGACAGGCCTCCAATGAGACACTGTACCACTGATTACGACATTCTGGGATCTGCGTTCAGCCAGTTCTCAATCCACCCCACTGTCCTCTCATACTGTTCACACTTCCTGAGTTTGCCTACAAGGATGTTGTGAGAAATAGTCAAAAGCCTTGCTGAAGTCAAGGTCAACAATACCCATTGCTCTCCTCTCATCCATCCAGGTAGCTGTCTATTGTAGAAGGTAACCAGGTTCATTAAGAACAATTTACTGTTAGTGAATCCATGATGACTACTCATGATCACCTTTTTCTCATCCATGGGGGTAGAGATGGCCTCCAAAATGAGGTGTTCTATCACCTTTCCAGGGACTGAGGTGGTCAGTATTCCCCTGCACCTTCCTTCTTGAAGACCAGGGTGACACTTGCTTTCTTCCAGTCCTCAGGCACCTCTCCTGATCACCACGACCTTCCAAAGGTTATCACAAGTGGCCTCGCTGTGGTATCTGCCAGCTCTCTCAGCACTCGGGGATGCATCCCATCAGGGCCCATGGATTTGTGGATGTCAAGTTTGTGTAGGTGTTCTGTAACCCAATCCTCCTTGACCATGGGAAGGTCTTTCTTTCAACATTCCTCTACCCTGGTCTCCTGGGTCAGAAATTCCTGAGGGGGGGTCCTGTCAGTGAAGACTGACACGAGGAAGGCGTTCGGTAACTCTGCCTTCTCTGCATCCTCTTTCACCAGTGTCCCCTGTCCATTTAGTGATGGGCCCATGTTATCCTTTGTTCTCCCTTTCTCATTGATGTATGATGTAAGAAGCCTGTCTTGTTGACCTTGATTGGCCAGATTAAACTCCAGATGGACCTTGGTCTTCCTTATCTCATTTCTACCTACTTTGACAACCTCTCTACACTCATTCCAAGTGACCTGATCCTGCTTCCATATCCTGTGTATTTCCTGATTACACTTGAGCAGTGACAGGAGCTCCTTGTTATCCACATGGGTCTCATGTTCCTCCTCCCTGATTTCCTGCTCATCAGGATGTGTCATTCTTAAGCCTGGAGGAAGTAATCCCTGAACATCAATCAGCTGCCCTGGACCCCACTGGGCCCATGGGATACTTTCAGGAAGATCCCTAAAGAAGCTAAAGCTAGTTCTCCTGAAGTCCATGATTGCTTGCTGCCCTGCTTCCTCTTCGCCCAGTACTGAACTCCACAAGCTCATGGTCACTACAGCCAAGGCTGCCTCCAACCTTCACATCTCCAGCAAGGCCTGCCTTGTTTGTTAGTATGAGGCTGAACAACACAGCATTACTTGTGGGATCCTCCCCTATCTGTGTCAGAGAGGTGTCATCAATGCTTCCCAGGAACCTTCTGGACTGTTTGTGCTTTGCTGTGTTTCATCCAGACGTCAGGTTTAATGTCCCCCACAAGAACCAGTGACTGTGACCTTGAGGTTGCTTCAAGCTGCCTGTAAATGTCCTCAATCACTTTCTCCTCCTGATCAGGCAGCTTGGAACAAACACCCACAACGTCACCCTTACTAGTCTGCCCTTTTATCCTCACCCATAAGCTCTTGATTTGCTCATCATCCATCCCAAGATAGAGCTCAATACATTCAAAGTGTTGCCTCACATAGAGGGCTATTCCATCACTGTGCCTTCCTGGTCCATCTTTCCTAAACAGCTTGTGGCCCTTCATGACACCATTCCAGTCACGTCAGCTATCCTACCACATCTCCATAATCACAGTGAGATCAAAGCCCTGTGACTGCTCACAGATCTCTAGTTCCTCCTGTTTGTTTCCTACATTGCACTGGTGTACTGGTTCTATCTAGAAGTATTTTCCATATAGAAGTACTTGATTTATGTCACTATCTGAGTGAGGGGTGCAAAGGGACAACCCGTAGTCCTGTCCTGTGGTTATGTATTTGGCTGCTTGTGTTTGTCCAAGGTATTCCCCTTTAGGACTCCTTCTACTACTTCTGTGGTTTCTACAGTCCTCTCCTTCCCATACTTTATCTCTGTTAAGCCCAGCTATGCCCCCATCCCCCTCCGAGTCTAGTTTAAAGCTCTCTTAAGGAGTCCTGCTAACTCCTAAGCTATGATTTCCCCTTTGAGACAGGTGGGCAGGTGTTGCCAGCAGGCTCGGTGTCATATAAACCAACCAATGATCAAAACCCTCAAAATTGTGCTGGTGACACCAGTTTCAAAGCTAGGTGTTCATCTCCCTGATTTTCCTGTTTCTTGCCCCATCAATCTTTGCAACTGACAAGACAGAAGATAACCTGACTTGTGCTCCAGATCCCTTGACCAGTTGTCCCAAGGCCCTGAGATCCCAAGTGATTGTCAACAGACTTCTTGTTAGAACTTTGTTGTTACCCACCTGGAAAACCAGTAGTGGGTAATAATAATGGCTGTACCAGGCTAGGAAGTTTCTTGGTGATGTCCCTTCCCTGGGTCCCAGGGAGGCAACACACGTCCCTATGGATTGGGTCCAGTCGGCAAATCGGGCCCTCCAGTCCTCTCAGAAGGGAGTGACCAGTGACTACTACCCTTCTTTTCTTCTCAGTTGAGGAGGCTGTAATGCAGGGGGTGAGCTGCCCTGCCCTAGGTAACCTCTTCAACCTGGATGGACCTTCATTCACATTTACATTTCTGGTCCTCATTTCCCTGGTTCTCAGACTCCAAGGCCTCTTATCTATTGTGGAAGATAGGGTAGGTCAACAACCTGGGAAGGTGAGGTGGGTCAGGAGGAGATTCCCCTGCCACCCAGAGCAGAAAGCCATTTCCACTCCCCTCCATCCCTAAGGTCCTTCTGGCTGGTGGTGAGAGGGTGGAAGATCCACTACTTCTTGTGGAGTGCATGATGGGTCTGTTTGTATAAGGCATGGTAGAGTGCAGCTCCACCACTTAAACTCTTACTACCAGTCACTTTTTACATGAGTAATGAGTGAACATGGTCTCCTACAAAGTTAACATAATTCACTCAGCAGTGAGGATTCTTGAGTCATCAGGACTTAGTAATATATCGAGGATTAGACCAGGACTCTAAAAATAGTAAAAGTATAGTTATACTCATCTAAGCAGTGTAATTAGCTGACCACAACAAAACATCACTAGTCAAAATTTCTAAAAATAAATCTTATCAACAAAAAATATAATAATTTTATAAATAAATAATAATTAAAACTTTAATTATTTTTCAGTCTTTGGAAGGTCACCCTCCTTCTCAACAAATTACTAAGAAATAAGCTTGAATTCAATCTTCCTTTTCACAAACAGGAAAGAAAAAGCACGAGGAGAAATAATAAGCAGGAGCATTTTCATGTTCAATTTTCTTTTTGCATCCACAGAAACAAGAAAAAAAGGCAAAATCACCACACAACACTGATGTGGCCCTCCTAAACTTGAATGCAATACACTGTTCTGTTGTTTAGGTTTCAAAGATTCAAATTTATACCGAATGGCCCATGCAAAAGGACTTTACTATTTTATTCCCTTAAATAGCAAGTCTTTATAAAAACCCTGTAAGGCCCATTGGTTTTTTCCTTTAAGAGAAAAAAAAAAGTAAAAAGCAGTAAAGTTTAGAGAGTTCTTCTGTTTCTGGCTAATGCAGAAACTCAGTGACCTTTTTCAGAGTCTCTGTTAACTCTGAATATTTACATTTGGTGGTAATAATTACATCAAATATATTCATATGACTTAGAAGTAAAACTTTAGGAACTAGCTTTGGACATTGGTCTATTCAATGAGTTAAATGAGAACTGAAATTAACCAGTTGATGAAAATTCAAATAAAAAAAAATATTTCTCAGCAAATGCACTACTATTATTTTGTGTTAGTACAGTATATACTCATCTTTTTCATTGCTCAAACTATAATTTTTTTTAAATAAGTGTGAGGAAAACAGAAGGCTAAATCACCTCTTTGCGTTTTTTAATTTAGAGGTTTTCTTAGTGTAAGCCATAGAAAATGTAGAACACTTAAATTGCCTCTTCTCCCTCATCCACCTTCCAGCAGTTGTCACATTCAGAGAAAATCTGCAGTAAAGGGTACAGAGAGGGAGCATTTGAGAGCAAAGAGTCTCCATCTTAGAGAAGAATGTGTTATGCATGAAAAATGCAGTGGTTGCCTACAGCTTTAACTGATATTACACAAAACTACCTCTACCTTGCACCTGGATCTGGAGCTATTCCAGATTATGAATACACTAACTAGACACATGTAAAAGAAAGTCCTGGGTTTGTTCCTGGTGGCATTTTAAGTAGGCTTTTACCAAATATATCACATCAGGCATATAAGATGCCTGATCATAAAGATGCTAGATCATAAAGATGAGCTAGCATCACTATGTCAACACGCCACCTATCATCTGAAATCTACTAAGTTGTGTCTACCACCTTTTCTGACATGCTGTCCTGGGAGCCTTGCTGAAGATAATGTTTGGTGAGTCAGTGATCTTGGGTAAACCATGTCTCTCTGTCCAGCCTTGTACTTTACATCTGAGAAGCCCACGTGTTAGCACGAGTGGTGGCTGCAGAGGACCGGGTAGGAACCCCTATGCCAGCCTGTGTTGTGAACTGATAGGTACTAGGGCAGACATAATGTTCTGACCTGGCAACAGTAGACACATGGGTTTGTTTTGGACTGTTTGGTGTTTTGCTTTTACGAAAGGCACAACGGTATGGGAGGGAGGCAGAACCTCTCCTCAGATGGGACCCATGTGCCACAGTGAGCCGTGGGAAGATTCACCTGGGGTTTATATAAAGCTTTGACATAATTTAAGAAAATCACCATGTGAGCTATTTATTTAAGGTGAAATAACAAAAAAGCCTGTATGCTTTCTGTATCAATGCGACCAATGTGCTGACTATAGAATGACCAAGTTTTAAATAAATGTTTGACTTCAGTAATGAACTACTCCACTTATTTCTCTAATCGCATTTTACTTGTGGCTCAATTGCTGTATTTAATGTTCTGTCCCACGCTGCACTATTTTAATTCTCATTGCAAGGACAGTATTATTCTCTAAGGATTTTACTAAAATACAAAGCAAAACTAGAGATTACACTCAAAAATCAAGCATGTTTCAAACACAGAGCCAAATCCTCCAGATTAAGTAAAGATTATCATTACTTTCTCATGCAGCAGAACTAACACACAATGTTTAACACTAGTATACAACGAGAATTATCTTCAATATTTGGAGAGAGGGACCGTATGTAAATACATCCAGATACACATACCTACAAATATTTATTATAAAACATGCTGTGTTAGCAAACTTGATTTTCCATATGTCCTAAGATCTTACCCTGAATGGTTTTTTCCGTCTCTGCACATCTTGTGAATCTCTGGTCCCTGACTAAGAAGCTCCAACAGAAACCATTTGTATCCATATAAAATTCAAAATGAGTGCAAGAGGAAGTTTACTACATCCAGAAGACAATGGTTTCAAAAACGTCTCTTCCATAATCTCTTCCCCCTCATCAAATGTTCTAAGTGACTCTGGAAGTTTTTCACAACTCTCTGACATTCAGCAAAACTTGAGGCTGCAGAGCCAAGTACAATCCAACAGTGAAAAGTACGATAAGAAAACTAAAACCATTTAGCCACATTCCAAAAAGGGTCATTGGTGAAAGAGCTAATAGCTTCCTTACAGTTACAGACTAGTTCTCTAAGAAACATAACATCAGCCTAAAAATCCTTAGTATGCACTATGCTGCACAGATGAGACCTCAAGAAGGACGTGGTTACATCTTGAAAGCCCAGATATTACAGAAAACTCAACTGGAAAAACAAGGTATGGGAAAGCAGCTCTCTGAACTACTGCCTAACCATTTCTGAAACTAAGAAGTAGCTAAATGAGCTTGGCCTGTGCTCTGTTAAACATGGCAAGTCCATCTAAAACAAGAGGAGATGGTGCACTTGGAGTTTCGTTTTAGCAAAAATACAGGGTATGACTACTAGATTTTCCTCATATTAATTTTTATCTGACTGGCTTCTGATCTGCCACAGTCAAAAGACACTTATTTGGGCTTAAAATTAAGCATAAACAACAAAAACTGAGCACTGGTCACCTATAAACTAGAGCTCCGTTCATAAGAATGTAATTCCAATCTAGACATAATGTCCCCTCCACCTCATCCCCTGATATCCAAAGTGTTAACACCTTGCTAGAAACAGTGTTACAGATCTGTTGATTAACTTACTTTGAAATATCTTTGCCACCATGTTGCCATGGAAATATGACATTTCCAACAGCTGCCCGGTAACTGTAGACTCCCAGGAGCCCGAGTGCCATAGCAATTTTTGAAACCAGGGAGCATCTCCTTTGAACCAGAAAGAAGATCATAAGTAGGGAGACTGCAGCCAAGAAGGAGAGTTCAGGTTTATGTTCAGAGCTGGGAAAAAACAAACAAACAAACAAACAAATCTTTTAAAACAGAACTTAGAGCTAAGCATATTAGCTACAGCACCATATTAATCAATTAATAAACTGTATTAATTAATGCAGCACCAAATTAATCACTGCACTGATATTTGTTATGAAGTTGCTGAGAGGTATGGTAAAATATTTTAGTATTTCTGGAAAAGCACTGTTATTAATAAGATTTTCTATTCAAGCATACATATTTAAAAGTGTAATTATTGTGTCCCACCATATGCTAGTTATTCTGTTAATTAAATAAAAACTGAGCTGCATATTGCATCACGGAAAAGGGTCTAATACTTTTAAACTAGAGGTTTGTTGTTTATACATTCTGAAACAGTGCATTTCACTTATACTACAGCATTTTATTTTCTAGCACAATGAAAAAGATTGTTGCTCTACAGGATCAGAACTATTCTGTCTCTTGAAGTAACAACACATGTATTTGATTTGTTTCATTAATTTTAGTCGTAGAACACACTACCTATCTAGAATGACCACAAATATACTTACACAGTTTACAACACACATATACAAATTCATTAGCACAATGTAATTCCCTTACGCAACTACAGTACCTCGCATTATGTGAGAGGTAAAGACACAAAATTTGCATCATTGACAGAGAATATTAGAGATACAGTTTGTTTGTTCCTCTGCATCCTAGATAGAGGTAACACTCATTCCAGAACAGAGGTCATTTCACTGAGCATGCTGCCAATGTTATGTATTTAAATCTTCAATACTATGAATTAGCAAAATGTAATGGGGCAAACTGAAGATCTGCACCCAACCCCTACCACAGCTACCTACACACTTTAAGAAGGCCCATTGTAGCACAAGAATTGCCAACCCAAGCCTACAACAGATATTCCCAGTATCCCAAATGATGTAAACCCACTAATTTTGTTACACATTTTTGTTAAGGACATCATGTAGAGTGTGAGAGCCAAAGGCTCCGTCTTCTGTCTTCCACATACAAAATGCCAAGATGAAAGACCACTAACTTCAGAAAACTAAGAGTGAGCTTGGGCTATTATCTGCATTAAAACCCATCACACTTATGAAACTCCAGTTTTATCTCTGATTTAATAAAAATTACTGTACTTCAAAGAGGCTTACTTTCCTGTTCCTAGTGTTTGATTTATCATGGGTTTGAACAACAGTTGTTTCAGCTATTGCACTTGGAAAGTCACAAAGGGAAGGTTATGGGGCAGAAAAACTGTCCTCCTAGTCTTCCGTGCAGGACCCAGTCAAGCAGTTCATAGAACTTAACAAGACTCCCAAGAGATGCAGTGCTCTCTGCAAGCCATTGGAGAAAAGTGAGAGGAATAAGATCTAGAACACTATGGGAGAGAAAATGCAGTCTTGATGTTTCTTTTTCTACATAAGAGTCAGCAGAAGCAGTGAATAGATTCCTGCAGCAACCCATGAAGATAGTGCAAGCACCACCTCTTATGATCAACACACAATAAACTATTTTGGTAGCCACTGCACCTTTCAAATGAACATTTTTGAAAACTTTAAGTTTTCAGGTAGTATCCTCCTTGGCTACTCATTGTATGAGAGCAAGACAAATCAGGAATAAATAACATCACATCATCATCATCTTTGTCTCTTTATCACTTTTGTTAAGAGATTCTTGCAGACAAAGTTAACAGAGCAGTGCAAAAAATTTAAAAAAGCCATTGCTGTTGGTAAGAAGTAACTGCTATTGCTATGTCAAGCCAGAGACTCACTAACAGCTGCAATTCCTACAATGAACATCTGAAATCATACTCTAATACCCTCCCCCTGAAAAAATGGGGGCACTGAAAAGTTATGTTCAAAGTAATGTGCACATCAGTCACATGACTTTGCATTCTTGACTGCTAGCAAAGGGGGTTATATACAAATCTGTCCAGGTTTTTGGGTAACAGTCCTCTGTGATTTCTTCGGGGAATTTTTTTGAACCATACAGATTTGCTCAAAAAAACCTACCCCAGCGTTTCATAGTTTGCTGAAGAAAGAAGAAAAAGATTTATACAGGTGAAGTCAGGTCAGCATAAATCACCTACAGTTTCACGGTTTTCTAGCCAAGGTTCCTCCAGTTAGTCAGCTAAAAGCATATGTAATTAGCTTGTATTTCGAGAGGCGATCGTAGTTGCCCAACGCAGACACAGAGACTCCAGTCATTTAGCAAAGTTCTAAATGATTTTGATAGTCTACTCAGAAATACAAGCAAAACATGCTACTCTGGTCTCAGCTGCAATGTAGTGGGTTTTGCCCAAACCACAAAATGAACCAACAGCTTCCTGAGAGAAAACGTGGCGAGAGGGAAGGAAGAAAAGAACACTTTGGCTGTATCTTCTTACTGTAACATCTTGTGGTCTACACTCATACTTCTGGTATGCTAGCTTCGGGGGAAGGGAATTTGGGGACGGTTAAGTTATTAAGTTATTCAGATAATTAAAGGAAAATATTATCATCTTTCCATGTTGATGCTTCTTGTCACTTCTCTTGGAGCTGATGTTGCCATGTAGCAGCTCTGACACCTTTGAAGTATCAGTTCTGACCAAGATAACCAGCTAAATGAAGCTAATTGAATACCAACTAATTAAAAAGAAAACCTGACTTCCAGTCAGATCTAGATTAAGTGTTCTCTTCCACTTCATCTACTGATTTTCTTTTGCTCTTTTTTCCATCAAAGTATTTTTTCCTCTTTGTAGCAGATTTCACAGAGTCTGTCTGCAAATAACAAAGAACATTTTCCTTATTTCAGCACTGTTGAATGCATCTCTAGTAGCCAAATTCAAGACACTACAGGCACACTGATTTTCTGTGTTTTGGTACTCACATTTTTCTATGGACAAACCTGGACAACAGCGTCTCTGTCTCAAATGCTGAGGCCATTAAGCACTGTCCAGATAGGCAAAATATTAGAGCATGAGCACAGATGTCTAAAAGGTCAATACAGAAGAATAAGAAAAGAGGGCAGTTTGTTCATTAGTTTATTTCAGAGATGAAATAGAAGGCTGTCTAGAAAAAGCCTGAGTAGCCGTAACTCAAACTAACAGGGGTACAAACGATATAAGTAAGGTTCTAAATACTTATTAGTAAAAAGAGAGCTATTAAGATGTAACTATGCAAATTAAACTCATGCTAAAAATAAAACAACAATCAACCTTACAGACTAGCAATGCATTTTGGGAAGAGGAATAAGTGCTTTACGCAACTCAGCTTATCACCAACTTTTAATTCATGCTGTTAAGGAAAACACATCACCTCAATCTTGATCAAAACACTAGGGAAACAGACATCTCTACCACCCTGTTCTCCTGTAAAGGAGAAGGAACAAAGACATTAAAACCTCTAAACAAAGAAAATCCAAACATGTTTGCCAAATAGGAATTAACTGACACTTTACAAACCCCAGGATGTGTAAAGATTTAGTTGCATCATTGACTGATCTTTCTGAAGCTTGTCCAGTGAAACACAACAGAACTCAAGAACTCAACTACCATCCCATCACTCGAGTCCAAAATCTGTATACATCAAATGCTGCTAATCTTTTAATCCCATAAAGCAAATGAAGTATACATCAGCATGGTGACATATTGTATTCTCCTGTTAGATTAAAAGCTGCTCCATTGTTAAAGTCAGGATATAGTTTCACAGTAGCCCAAGCCAGCCTGTGTCAGGACTGCCAGGGTTCTGTTCTCTTCACCTGCTCCCTAAACATATCAACGAAAGGGTGAATGCAGAAGTGTGACAGCCCTAATCACATATACTCTTAGCCTGCCACAGCACTCTGGACTTTTGCACAGTGTTTCTAAGCCCCCCAGAATACAAGTTTGTGAATCATTGCTTCTTTCTCAATCATATTTGAAAGGCATGCAGGTTCTTTTAAGGAATGCTTCAGAACAGCAGAAAGAAAAAACTGTTTATGTCTGCAGCACTTCAAAAGATGCAGATACTTCCACATTCTGTTTCTACAGTAATTTCAACAACAGCAGTGCTGATTTGTACACTCTTCCCTTCCTGTATTCCTGTTACTAGCCAGCCCATTTGCCTGTGAAACCTGATGGTAAATCAGAGTGGGATGCAATCCAACAGAGAGCCAAGTGTTTCCCATGCCATCTTGAGTTATTTTTCCAGTCATATCTATTCAATTATTTAGTTCACCATACTGACATGCAAACAGGTAAAATACAGTGCCAGTGAGGAGAAGAGTATGACAGCAAGTACCTTGCTCTGTATGGCAAGAGCTCCTCCAATATACTGTTATAGCCAAACACTCAGTCGTAGCCTAAGACTGTAGCTGTAGAACCTTTTCTCTTCTACTTGTTTTGAGACCCAAGCAAATATGCCCAATGTGAGGCCATAATTTGATAGAGAACACAGGGAGCAATTCACCTGTAAAATTCTGAAGTTTTCTGGTTCTTTGATATCTAGCTGCTGTACTTCAGCCTTACTGAAGGGGGAGGCAGACAGCTTTAATAACACGGTTGTTACAGCTTTATGAAGGAGAATACTTAATCAACCTCACAGATTTTTGTGATGAGATGACAAGCTCAGTGGAAGAGAGTAAAGCAGGCATTGTTGTTTATCTGTGCTTTACCAAGGCTTTTAACACCAGCTCCCATAACATCCCCACTGGCAATCTGATGTGGTCCAGGCCAGGAAAAGTAGACAGTCAGGTGGACTGAAAACTACTGAAATGCTGGATTCACAGGGTTCCCATCAGCAGCACAAAGTCCACCTGAAGGCCAGTCACTAGCTGTCAATCCCAGGATTTCACACTGGGCTCTATCCTGTTTAATGTCTACATTAATGACCTGACCAATCGGGCAGAGTGTCCCTCCAGGAAGTCTGCACACAACACCGAACTGGGAGCAGTGGTTGATGCAGTAGGTGGGTCTGCTGACATTCAAAGGCCCCTCAACAGACTGGAGAAATGGTCCATCAGGGATTTCATGAAGTTCAACAAGGGCAAGAAGCAAGTCCTGCACCTTGGAACAAATAGCTACACAGATCAGGACAGGCTGGTGGCTGACCCTCTTTTCAGAGATGGCTCTGAGCACACTGATGAACACTTGACTTGATAATCAGCATGCAATGTGCCCTTGGAGCAAAGACAGCCAACAGTATTTGGGAGCTGCATCATGAAAAACATTAAATAGAAGACTGAGGAAGGTTGTTTCTTCCCTGGTGTTCAACCCTGGGTCCAGTTATGGGTTACTCAGTACAGAGAAAGATATGGACATATTCAAATTCACACAAATTCCAATTTATATGCACAAACATGAAACACAAAAATAGCCTCCTCCTTCCCTTCTCCCCACTCCTTCCTCAAAAACAACAACAGAACCCCAGAGGAAGCCAGAACAGGTGTAAAAAGCCTTGGGTTTAGCTGAGCTGGTTGCTTCGAAGCTCCTGACAGGTAGTAGGTGTTAGAGTTAGGTATACAGGATTTTCCAGGATTCCCCAGCTTTTGTTATAAATCAGGAAGCCCTAGAAGCACCTGCTCTATCTGCAGACTATGCTCTACCTGTCCTATCTCCCTGAGACCCTACAGCCCAAGGCTGGAATACATTTTGTTGCTCTACAGGCATACTAAGCACCATGAAATCAGAGGTAGGAGCACATTAAACTGGAGCAGGATCTTTGGAAGTGAAGTCCAAACATGCATACAGAATTCTTAGAAGGCTGATAACATTTGCAAGAGTCATTAAACATTCCTGGTGGACCACATGAGTAAAAGCATACATTTGAAACAAACACAATTTTTCAGCTGCAAGAGTATCAGGTCCTTGTTTCATGCCTTTGTGGCATCAGCACATTCCAAAGAAAAGGGCTGACAGTCTGAAGAAAACATCTGGCTCAGGATGTTTTTGGGCAGATGCTCAGGATTAACTGTAAAAATCCTCACAGTCACACCAAGTCACGCCTCATCCTGCTCACACATTAGCTTAGCTCATAACGAAGGAGTTATCTATCATGTGGAGTTGATGTTGAAAATACGACATTCTTTCCTCAATCCCTCACCTCATCTCAAGAGCACAAATGCATGGTGAAAGCTCCGGAATAGAACAATCGCTATAACGTGACAAATTCCCTCCTAACTCATGTCTTTCAGCACTCATGCCTGTCACAGCAATGAGCATTTTCACCTGTGAGGTTGCCAATAAATAACAAGTCTCATATTAGTCCATTTGCTCATGTCATTTTTAATGAATGATGAATGGCATTTCATCCCTGTGTTGTAAGATACTGGTAAGAAATCTATTCATCTTACACAGCACAGCCTCTTCATCTGCTGCCTGCAAAACCTTGTCTAGGCTGTCACAGGGTATTGCTTCTCCATCCACCAACTGAAGTACAAAAGACAGTTCAAACATCAGGTACTTTTTATCACTGAATAATGACTGTAGTTCTGCAAAATACTAAGAGGTATCAGAAAAAGGAGAACCTCTCCTCTGGTATACTTCAAGTTATAAAAAATTCCTCTTCTTGTTTATCATATTTCACTCAAAAAATTCCTTCAGTTTTCCACCCACATGTTAAAAGCCTGTGATAGACAAGGAAAAACTCTATGTGAGGTATCTTCTCCTGTGATTTCATAACATTCAGAATTATGCAGAACCTTCCTGTCTTAATTTCAAGGGTTTAATTCTATTAAGCGATTTTTAATTTCTGAAACCAGACACTCCTGACTTATATATGGAAAATATTTACTTTTTGCTTCTGATAAACCTATCGTGTATAATTTGCATTAATTAGATAAGTCATGGCGCGGGGCAAAGATTATAAGCTACTGACAGCACACAAGGAATCACTCCTGCATGAAATAGCAGTGAAAAACTCCTTATGTTACCTCCCTATTTATCTGCTTTGCATGTTTGCAGCACGTTCTAATCACAGACTGCACAGAAATACATATGTACTTCACCAAATGAAGTACATATGTACATTTAACTTTTAAATAAGGCAGAAAGTGTGACTGTAAATCAGATACCCACCTTGTCAACCAATGTCCAAAGTCTGGTCGATGAGCCCACTGGACACCTGTCTGATTCAAGGATCGAAGCAGCCGACAGCAAATAAGGATGACCCATGGAGTTGCTAAGCTTATCCACTTGTGTGATCCTTTCATGAATTCAGATGAAGATGTGGCCTTGTCCAATTTTGAACTATCTGCTGCTGGAATGTCTATATTCTTGCAATCAGAGGTTTCCCCAAGACTATCAAAATTTTGCTTCATACTGGTGCTATGTTTAGGGTCACATTCTTTTAGAAGAAAAGTATTTCTACAAAGATCCTGACACAGCACCAAACAAAGCGTATTGATAAGAAAATACCAAGTTTGATGTTCCTCTTCTATGAAACTGCTTGCCCCCAAACTCAAAACATGGCCAATTGTTCCAGCCAGAATCAGCACATCTATTTCTGACCAACTAGAACTGGACACAGCTGGATTCTGAAAACAAAAAAAACAAAACACAGGAGTGGTGAAAGGGTGTAAAAAGTTCTCTTGTGTAAGTATTCACAGTGTGCTTACACCAATTTCCTCTAAGAAAGCAAAATAAATCATGAGACAAGTTATTTCTATCTTAATAAATCTCAAAAACTTACACAAGAATCATTTCAACGTAGCATATTTAGTTAGCATCACAACATAGTAATAATTTCTATAATTGCATTCTGTTTAAGGGCTCAAACTTCTCTATGAACAATCATCATAACTGTGCATATTCCCTACCATCCTGTGACAGAAGGTTCTAAACAACTTCACTCTCTGTTGCACACTTGTAGAAGCAAAAATAGAAATCCTGCAGAAATCAAACTTGAGATATAGATAACAGGTAATTTTCTAATAGTTTAAACCTGTGATATCGTCAACTCTATACAGTGACAGCCTTCACTACTCAAATGAACAAAAGTTACTGTCTGATGGCACCCCTTAACCTTGCTTAGCTTAAAATGTGTCTTTCCTCATAAAACCTACTTTAAATCTTACCCATCTATTATTCACTTCACACACTGTGCCTATCTAAAACCACAATATTTTTTGTCTAATGCCTCCATTAGTTCGATTTCTTGTTCTCAGCAGATAATGGGAATTGCCTCATCATCAGTGCCCTCGATGACAGGGCTAAAAAGAGAACGTAAGGGCATGTGGAAGTTGAGAGCACCCAGTTCACTGATGTTACCTTGTAAAGAACCATTCAGTACACAGGGGAAGCCATAAAAAGACCACAGAGAAACACAAACATGACAAATAAGCACTAAGGGAGAGCACAAAGATGACCAGAGCTCTTCAGCCATTAACTGATGGGCCGTTAGGAAATCACAGGCATAGCTCTGAAGAGCGTCAGTCTGGACTTTATCACAGATAAGGCGTGAGTGACAGACCACGGGTATTACAGATATCTGATATCTGACCAACTCCTTAAGCAATGTTTCAGGAAGTTGTCAAAAGTGAGGAAGAGGGGGTGATAGGGAATAGGATGGAAGCAGGGAGCAAAGTGAGAGGAGAAAGGGTAAAGGAGTCAGTTACATATAAGCAAGAGCCAGTCAGTGCACTTTTCTGACTGAGCCCCCTAACATACCTTAGCAAATAGGATTACATACTCGTGAAGTATTTTGAGAAAAACACAGTCGAAATCATCCGTTACCATTTTATTTTCTCAATTTTTGCTCTATTAGAGAACATCACAAACTATTTCTTAAAATGGTATTTTAAGCATCTGATAACGATTTAAAAGCCAAATTGAAACTACTGCATGCCATTTTTACTTCAGAACAAAGATCTCTGAACCTACTGTCACATTAATTTCTTTAACTGCATATTTCAACCACATCATCCTCCCACATTTGACCTATGAACAAACTTCAAAAAAAACCATGGTGAACATTCACCAGAGATAAAATTCACAGAGAATATACTCACATTGAAAAATGCACAGTGTACTACAATTCCTGAACTGTTTCAATCAAATGTTAGAAGAATATCAAAAATCACTAATCTTGGAGCAGGTAACAAGAAAGCAGGTGTAAACAATACAAGTATCTCTGAGCATCTTAGATGCAAGCCTCTCTTGTGTTTATGACTTACTGACAGCAGCATATGCACGTTTGTTTAATAAGCAGGACCATGTAACATGGAGAAGACAACAAACACACTTGACACAAGAACCTAGCTAACCCTCTCTGGAATTTTGGTTCGGGGAAAACAACTTTTGCAAAATCAAAATTTTAAGAGATGTACGTGAAAGAATGCAGGAGGTATAGTTACAGTTATCACCTATTCACAGCCCTTTCATTTCCTCTGTTGTTAAAGAATACATTACACCAAAGTCATTTCACTTTAAAAAAGAAAAAAAAAAGCACAACCAAAAAAGTCTCCATGAGGTTACACACAACAATAATGGGGGGAAAAAATACTAATAAACTGAAAAATATGCTGAGGGTCAATCTAAACTTACTAGTATTTGATATTTCTTTGGTGCTTGAAAGACCACTCCGGTTTGTTTAGTACTCTATTCTGAAAAGCAAATACCATAAGCTGGTATTTGGAATAAAAGGACAAGGTAGTCTGTGCAAAGACCAAAGAGCATGAAATTCACAAAGCTGAGACAAGAACAGTACATGACTGAACTACAGAAAGTTTAAATTCCAATAATTCCATCATGCTGACCTTAAAATCTTGGCTAACTAAATAATGAGCATTTAAGTATTATCTGCTTGAAGCGACAAAGAAATCTGAGACCCTCAATAAATGACAATGAACAAGTCTTTGATATAATTCATCTTCTTTATAAGACATAACAGAAAATCTATGGAACAATTGGTCTCTTGTATGTGGTTGTTGTCAGCAACTGATATGAAAACTGAAGAACTGATGCTTTGTCAATGAGGAATATACAAAACTCTCATGAGAACGATGGCATTAGTATGAAATGTCCCAGAGTCAAAATCTGTATTTCTTGCCTGCTTGTCTCTCACAATTCCAATGAAAAGAGAAAAAAATTACTCTTACATTCACATCAAAGGATTAAAATCCAGTGACATTTACTGATAAACCACATTTCAGATCAGTTAAGTCACTATGCAGAATCAAAAATTTTGTTGCAAATTATAATCTCCTGTGCCTTGATAATCTAAGAAATTCTGAAAATATCTCCATTGAGGTTTTCTAAATTCACTGGCAATCCCCTGTATATGAACTGTGCTTTATTAGGTATGTCATGAGTCCAGTGTCATATACAGTCTGACTTTAGATTATTTAGATTGTACTTAGTTCTTAGATGTGGTTTAAAGGTATAGAAATGTAGGTCTTACTCTGCTATTCACAGCTCTGTCTTTCTAGCTGATGAACACGTCCAATCCTCAGGAACTCAGCAGTCACTCCAGACACTAGAAGACCTGTATGATTCTCACTGCTATCTTGGTAAACAAACTTAATACAGACTCTTTTGTTCAGAAATTTATAAGTCCCAGGCTTCAAATCTAAGCATATCATCTCCCAAGCCAAGGTAGCTTTAACAATTGATGTACCAGCATTAGTAATTAATACAGAAATTGACCCCTTGCCCTGTCTTTGAACACATCTTGCTAGCTTGCAGAAATGCCAGTCCATAAATGATAAAGTATGTGAACCTCTGGCCAGTAAATTTTGAAACTTCTTCACTTTGAAATAGAACCTCCTGTAGTCTATCTTCTGTGTCCAATTCCAGTTATCAGGCTTCTGTGATGTTAACCATCCACACTTAATGCCTGTGGAATTTTGCAATCACTTTTCAGATAAGAAACATTTTATTTTTCATGTCCACCCTCACTGACAATCTAAACACTTAGCAGTTTCCTCCCTTCTGATACCTGAGCTCCCTGAATCCAGTCGTGATTCCCTATGGTGGTAACTTTCCCATGGCAAAGTACTATAGATGACACTTGCTGCTACATTTTTATAGCAGTTTGGGATCATTTTTGTAAGCCATCTGGTAAAGACACCACCCAACCATCTTTTTAATTTCTCAAGTCAAAAAATGCTACAAAATTTTAGATGTAACTCCATAAAAATGCATCACTGTTCAATTAACCAAGAATATCACATAGGGGAGGAAACCCAAAAATATTGTAAGATGAACAGGGTACTTCAAAATAAACTGAAAGAGGAACAATTTGTTTATGCAGTAAAAAACCACTATAATTCTGCATAATGAAAATTCTCAAAAACTGTATTTGACAAGCTTTAACTTTTGTGTTCTAGTTTCAAAAAAGCTTAGTTTTTATTTCTATCAGAAACAGGGAGAAAAAAACCACAACTAGTAGTAGTAAATACCATACTTATGTCAACTACCAAGCAATTACAGTGAGGCTATGAACAAAAAGTTACAATTTTTGATGATTTTCTGGAATTCATAAAGGGCTGCAGAACTATTTAAAGCCTTAAGTATCATTAAAAGAAGGGACTGGTGCTGCTAGAAACATAGCAATCAGAAGCTATAAATAACAGCCAGGAAGCAGATGTTAACACTGCCTGCACTGGTCTTCAGAAAATTCATGAACTTGGTAATCAGTTTCTATATTCAGCCACAGTGGGAAAAAAAGCATTACAAATGAGAAGCACTTCAGAGAAATCTTTAGATGTGAACGGAAACAATTTGAAGGAAAAAAGCTCTGAAGCCATTAACAGGAGAGCTTATCTTAATTACTTCTAAAATACCTACATTTTATCGTACAGCTTGAGCTTGGAAAAGGCTTTTTAGCTTTTTTTAACTGGCAAGACCGTGATTCAGGATTCTACTCCTGCCATCAGAAGATCAGGGCTTCAGAGCTCTTTCAGAAGTGGGCCCCATCCACAGATTCGCACTGTGGTCACACAACTTGGATTTAGAGTTACTTTAGCATAAGTGGTACTCCTAACTCAGGCAGAAGGCCCTTCAGGATCAACATAACAGCATATAAAGACAACAAGTTTCTCCCCCAAAGTCTAGGCATTCTTTTGGAAAAGGGGATGAAAAATGGAGGTGAGTGTTTGGGACACATCCACACTGCAAGCAGCACCAGACTTGCAAGCAGCACCATACGCTGCTCCTTTCACCTTCTCCAGGCTCTATATTTGTATAAGCAGTGACCCTAAAAAATCCCACAATATCATGCTATAGTAGCCCTCAAACTGGTAAAAATGTTAATCAAAACCAGGTCACTGCTTTTATCCATGACTGGAATGAAGCCTACCTGACTTTGAAGAGATGAGATACACATCCCGCAACCCAGTCACCTATGGAATAGGACTGAAGACAGGAGGACAAAAGGGTATTTCTACAGGTCTGAATACAAAGTCATGTCTGCCCCAATCAGAATTACTATTATCTGCACTTCATAAGACATACTCAAGCTTCCCACATTTTCAGATATATCTCAAGTAGGAATATGATCACAGGCAGACCTGGGATGCAGAATTGAGTATTTTTTATTTCTCTCTGCCCCAGCCTTGAGAAAACAAACACACACACAAACCTGGAAAGCATTGCTGAAAACCTCTTCATTTGTGTATTATCAGCTTGAAGCAGTTGATCTACTTCAAGTGAGGGTGGTGAGGCACTGGAACAGGTTGCCCAGAGAAGCTGTGGATGCCCCATCCCTGGAAGTGTTCAGTGCCAGGCTAGAGGGGCTCTGAGCAAGTTGGTCCAGTGAAAGATATCCCTGACCAGAGAAAGGGTTTGGAACTGGATGATCTTTCAGGTCCCTTCCAACCCAGACCATTTCATGATTCTGTGATTCTTTGAGACTATTCACCTGGAGAAGAAACCTATCATCTGTTGTCATTGGTCTCAATGCTACTGAAGTGGAATGTCTGTAAATTTTACGCAGGTCTAGAAAGTCATCATATTTAGATTCCTACTGTCCACTAAAATTAGAAAAACTGGTAACAAGATGGAAAACAGCAAGTAAACGTGAGGTTTCTACAGAACACACTGAAGCATGAATTATTCCAAGGCCATATCATTTTTCTAAGACTAATTTCTACCTCGTTCACAATAAAATACAGAAAGCTAATAAGAGCCCTAAGCAGAACAGATCAGAAATGGCAAAAGTGAACTGAGTCCACTTAAAAAACAGCACACCCCTACGTACCAACTGTGTTAACAAACTGTAAAACTAGACATCTCATTCAGAAGATTTCTCCATTCATGTTGATGAATTTTACCCTCACCTTTCATTTGACTCTAAAAAAAGACCCACACAAGCATCACTAGGTTTGGCACCAAAACATTACTACTACTTTGACACAAAACCTTCAGTACCAAAACCAAATTGTGATTTACACTTACAAAGACTATTCTGTTAGCAGCTATACCCGAGAGGAAACTTCTTTCTCTGATTTGATAAAGCAGATATTTGTAGCTGACCTGTCAATCTACTTAAGTCTACCTAAATGATCAGACACATCTAAGTCTTATGTGAACGATGAATATAAAAGTAAGAATGATACAACAAGTTCTATCAACATCTCCTTTCTTCGTCACTTTCAATATACTGAAGTGAATTGCACTGAAGAAAATAGGGTACTGGCAAAGTATTTTCTTCTCAGAGCTTTAATGTCTGTTGTACTTGGGAAAGGACAGATCATCACTGGGGCATGTTGTTACAAAGTATCATACATGTTGCTTTAATTGCAATTGTGAAACATCACTGTGTAACAACAAAGAATTTGTACACAGTATAACTGTTTCCGACCTAATGAAGTCAACTGCAAAGTATTTTACAATATTTAGAACATTTCTTCAAGTAATGGCAAAATAAGCACTTCTGTGATCTTTATTATACAATCGGTATCATGCCACAGTGAAAACACCACATTTCAATTACAACTTTAAATTATTCAAATTACATTACAAAATAAAAATTTCTCTAGGCACACGGAGTGAAAACTTAACAAAATTTTACCTGAAAGCACACCATGAAAAGCAAAACATTTTGAACCACAATGAATGCACGCTCTCACCTTCGGTGGAAGTCGGGAATTCTCAAAGATCTTTGCAATAGCAGATAAAATACCGCACATGAGTGCGGAAATCAGCATCATCACTCCAACTGCTGTTAGCCAGGACATACTGCAGAAATAGCACAAACTTTCTGCTGACGTGCATACAATGACATGAACTGCACACAGCATCAGACACATCAAATAAAACAGCAGGGAGAATAGTGGAGGGGAGAGGGGCACTTCAAATTCTGCCCGCTTGCTCAGGGCCTTTGGAACACTGAGCAAAAGCAGCAGCAGAACCTAGAAAAAAGAAATAGGGAATTAACACTTTAAAAATTGGGGTTAGCTAAAACACAGAGTGAGAATTCACACCAAAAAATCATGCTGTAGTCATCCATGTCACTCTGCTAGTACACATACTTCATCAAAAAAAACCCCTGTAAAGAACTATGTAGGGGTTTTTTCCCCCAGTAAGATAATACCATATAAATGGGAGAATCCAAGATGGTGTTTTCATTTATTAAGGGCTTGGACACACAGGTTCCCAAGTTTAATAAATTACCATTTGCCTCCTCACCTGTGCTAACTGATAAGATGTATGATCTTTATTCCCTGTAAAAGTAAGAGCTCCCAACATCAAAATAGTTCCTAAGCAAACAAATTTGACCCATTATTTGTCACCTGTAAATGCCTGAAGTCACATGCACCCTATCAAAGACAATTCACCTCCTGTATGAGAAATACACATATAGGAGATCCTGCTGAGTTAAATAACTTCTCAAACCAGGGGAAGTTCTCATACTATCACACAAGTGTATGCTGAATTTCAAGCTTATGAATTCTCCCAGTATTTATTTTTTGTACTTCTCCTCATCTTAATTTGATTTATTGGTTTTACTTTAACTTTGCTCTAACCTGTACGCAGATCAGGTAGAATTCCAAGGTTTCTCTCAGGTAACTGCAGCAGTGGAAATGAATAATACAATGAAAACCTTTACAAAAAATAAGAAACTTCAGCCACATGCTAAAATGCTTTGCAAGCTGAACAGATGGAGCTTGGACTACGCTGACCTCAATCAGCCTCTACCAGGGCAAGATTAAAACAAATCAAGATAAAAACAGACCACTGCCAACCTGTAATCTTTCACTGCCACTTGTGAAGGCCTCTGCCTAAATTTTTCCCACATTACAGTGAGATACAGTAAAGTAGAGCAAAAAATATCAAATGCATTGCACTCATCTGCTGCTTCATCATATTCTACTCCACATTTCATTTGGTTATGAAAATATACAGCTTCAGAGTATTGAACTGGCTTAGGTCTTACATTTCAACATAGCCCTTAAAACTAAAACAAAAGCAGCACTCATGGTAGGAAGGCACTAGTTATCTACAAAACTAAATTTAGGTCTTTTGAGCAAGTGCAGTATTATCAGTCCATGTCTCAGAGGTATCCTCCTCATCCGATAAACAGCATTTCTAGCACGGTGTAGTCTGAAGTGACATGTGAGTGTCACTACTGTTATTTATTCAGCAAAGGTGGAAAACACATACCACGACAAAAAGATTTTGGAAAGCAAGGTAGTTTCTTGAGTATTACACTGGAGAAAATAAAAAACTCCAGCCTCTTTGCAGCAAGTCTTACAGTGATGCTGAGCACACACTGCTCAATGAAAATTTGAACATTTCCATGGTTAGTAAGCTGCGTCTTTAACGAAGGCCCACTGAGTATAATACCCAAGATTTGTTTTCTAGAAACAGTAAGCATCTACAAGCATTTCAGAATATAAAAAATAATCCAGTGATTCAGCTGTCCACAGCTTGAATCCATAGGTTTCCAATACAAAGGAACAAAAAAAGAAATATAAGTACTTCAGCTTTGCACTGAACTTTGCCCACCTCCAGATCCTCCATCCATAGAGCAGGAACAGAACCTGCCATCTCATCTACCCAAGGGCACAGTGGAACTCATTCCTGTGAGGTGATCAGCAGAGGGACAAACCCCACCAAGCAGTCTAACCACAAAGCTATTTCAGAAGTACTCTGTATGCAGGGAGCAGTGCATAGGAGACAAGGCACAGAGCCCTGCCAGGACAAAGGAGACTCAAATATTAATGAGCTGCTCACATATTGTTATCTATTCCAGGCACTGAACAGTAACAGAGTCTTGTACAGCACCACATTCAAGGACTAAGCTAAGCTTGTAGTAGGTACTTCGATCCTATGGAAAAATGCTTTTACTCACAGAAGTTGACAACCTTGTAATCTAAAAGGTCAGTGCAAACTTTGGTACATAGAAGTTCAGTGTCAGGCATGCTACTCCTTCAGCATGGTTCTCAAAGCATAACACTGTTTCCTTTTGAGGCTTTTGAGGCTATTTCCAGCATTTGAGTTTTGCCCAAGAGATCAGTTGAAGAAATCCACTTAAAATTCCAGACATGGTACATCTTATCTTTATTCCTACAGGAGATACAACGTGGCAACCCAGCACCTCACAGCAAGTATTTATTTCAGGGATCTAAACCCATCAGAACGAAGAACGATTCCTGGAATTGTGAAAATTGTCTGTATAAGGTATTGCCTGTTTTGAGCAGCTACACTCAATGTTAGATAGAGAGCAATGGGTAGGAATTTACTTGCCAGACTTTTTTTTTTTTTTAAATGCAGTAAAGCTACTCAAAAATAGAAGGCTAACAGGGGAGTAATTTAAGCTGTAGCACATCTACATATTTACTGTAACTGGCTACACCAAAACATTAGTAGTTCATATCAAAAGTGCTCTTGAATCATTATAAAGGCCAGATCATTAAAAAGAGTATTAACCTCATCCGGGCAGAATGTCAGCCAACTCTAAGAATTCATACTCGGTAATTTTTAAGACCAGTAAGTGTATACAATTAATAGTCAAAACCAAGATACTTCTACTTTTGTACACTTAACCTTTTCAGTGAAAGATCTATTTTCGTACCTCCATAATGATCACAGTCCCCACCATCATCGAATACATGTCATACTGTGCCACTTGTTTGCTTAGTGAAGAACTCAGAGTCTTGAGGGCCTCCAAGTATTGCTTCAGGACCTTTTTGCCAAGATTTAAGAGTATTTCTGAATTATTCCCCTCTAAATACAGTTTGATCCAATTACCGTGGGATTTTTCTGCTATCTTAAAATGTTCATATCCAGGATCTGGGGGGTGGGAGAAAAGAAAAGAAGCAAAAGGATCCATGAACAAAAGAGGATTAATTAGAGTTGTGATCATATTTTTATATTTGCCTGTATAATATATAAAAAAATATAATTCCTATGAGAGTTGAAGCTTTTTTCAGACCTACAAATCACACTATCTTCCTGTAGCAATACCATGATGAGCCAGTTACTCAGAATAAAAGCAATTAATCTCTAACCTAATAAAACGTCAAGACCTCTAACAATTGAAAAACTTATTTAAATATCCATTCGCTTTTGCAAAACGTTTCCAGGACAAACAATTCAAATGCTTCAGATGCTGTTTAAAAAAAAAAAAGAAAAACACCAAAATCAATGTTTTCCACTGGAACCACTGACTATCCTGGGCATATTGTACAAGCTGAGTGAGAAATGATCAACTAGCCGATCTCCAGAAGAAACATCAAAGGAGACACACACTGCATTAGTTGGTAGTGCAGGCTGGATGAGTGGATGGTGAGGTGGACTGAGAACTGACAGAATGGCAGAGCTCAGAGGATTGTAATCAGCAGCACAAAGTCCAGTTGGAGGTCTGTCACTAGTGGTGTCACCCAAGGGTCGATACCGGATCCAGAGTAGTTTGACTTGTTCGCCAATGACTTCGGGAAGGGGCAGATGCCTCAGTTTGCTGACAAGAAAGCTGGAAGGAGTGGCTGATACCCCAGAGGGCTCTGCAGCACTTCAGAAGGACCTCAACAGGTTAATGAGACAGGCAGAGAAGAACCATCTGAAATTCACCAAAGGCAAATGCAGGGTCCTGCACCTGGGGAGGAATAACCCCAGGCACCAGCACAGGCTGGGGGCCAACCTGCTGGAAAGCTGCTCTGTGGAGAAGGACCTGCGGGTGCTGGTGGACAACAAGCTGTCCATGAGCCAGCAGTGTGCCTATGTGGCCAAGAAAGCCAATGGGGTGCAGCAGGCAGAGCGTTGCCAGCAGGTCGAGGGAGGTGATTCTGCCCCTCTACTCAGCCCTGCTGAGGCACGTCTGGAGTGCTGTGTCCAGTTCTGGGCTGGTCAGCACATAATACACAAGGAGCTCCTGGAGCAGGTCCAGCATAAGGCTACAGAGATGACTAAGGAACTGGAGCATTTCTCATGTGAGGAAAGGCTGAGGGAGGTGGGCCTGTTCAGCCTCAAGAAGAAACAAATTAGAGGAGACCTTATCAATGCATACAAATATCTGAAGGTAGGGTGTGAAGAGGATGGAGCCTGATGCTTCTCAGTGGTGCCAAGCAACAGGACAAAAGGCAACAGGCAGAAAGTGGAACATAGGAAGTTCTACCTAAACATGAGGAAGAACTTCTTTACTGTGCAGGCAACTGAGCACTGGAACAGGTTGCACAGAGAAGTTGCAAAGCCCTTCTCTGGAGATATGCAAAAGTTGTCTGGACACATCCCTGAGTAGTTCTGTAGGGGACCCTGGTTTGAGCAGGGAGGTTGGACTAGATGACCTGTAGTGTTCCATTCCTACTCTACCCAATCTGTGATTCTGTTTTTAAAATATTGATCACTGAGTATAGTATGTATTCACAATATAAATTCAGTTGACAACACATGGAAAGCAAGAGTGTAACTTTCAAAAACTTGCATCTCACTGAACATTATGCTGTGCGTGAATATTCACATTTATCTGTATTTCTTGCAAAAAATAAATGTTAATTTCACTTCAGATTAATAGTCCTTGCTATTTCCCTGCAATTTCACTTGAAAATTAATGATAACCTAAGTGTAAAAGGGTCAATTTGGAAATTTTTATATAACTTGCAATTCTTCCCTTCTCACCTAAAGGTAGGGTAATATATTTGCTGTACAGTTTCAGACAGTAAAGGTTAAAGCAATAACTGAAATAACTCTGGTGTCAGAAAGTCTTAAGTTACAGTTCATTTTTACTCCTGGTAGATGAACATTATATCAGATGTGGAAAAAAACCACTATATTTTTTGTTATGCCTTTTCCAGCAGAAGTACATTATTAAATCCAGAATCATTTTTTAATTTTATTTCAAGTGAATGAAGATGAATGAAAAACGTCTATTCACAATTCTTGCACAGTTATGAAAGAATTGTGCCTACCACTTGTAAGTCTCTTATCACACAAGACACTTTGTGATCTACTGAATTCAAAGTGAGAATTTTAGAAACCAATGTTTAACTCACAGCGTCCAGTCTGTTCTACCAGGACTTCTAGCAGACTCCAAAGCATGCTGATCCTGCGATGTAGGAGGCTTTCAGGTATCTGCTAGAAAGTACAATTCAGCCAGCAGCAAATACTGGCATATCAGGAGAGCTGCCGGGACACATGGATGATTTTATTTCCCTCCTGTAGTTCTTTGAAAAATGAATTCCCTGCAAAGTTTCTCTAACAGTATGCTCGAAATAAGAGTTAAATATTCATACTTTTGAGAACATCCACAAAGGATCATCTAAAATGAGCTTTAATCAAACTGAGATTTGACATGACACTATTTCATTATACAGAACACTGAAATGAGTTCAAGTTGTATTTTCATACATAAATAAATTCCCTCCACATCTTCTGCTCCTGTTCTGCTCACTTTTCAAGTTTCTTGCCCAGTCTCCCTCTGTATTTCTTTTACAATTTTTATTTCATTCTCATCTACCTCCTTCCTTGCTACTGCCCACCAAACTCATTCTGCCCATGTTATGTAAGATGACTGTTTAGTCAAACACACATATGAGTGAATGATTTAAGGATCTTGCAGACAGGAATAAAGGACCACAGTTACCAACTTTCCCTTTGAAGTCCTATGATACCTGTTCCATGGCGCAATTGTACACAGGAAGTATAAAGTAAGAAGGGTCACAGGCACTAAATTGTTGGTAACTGGCAGGTAACACTGGCAAGTCACTCCTACATGGGATACTCGTAAGACAAGTTAAACTTGAGGAAAAATCCAAAGCGAGCTTGCCCAGCTACACATTTCCCAAAGCACTAGCAATGGTTTACTTTCACAGAATTACACTGGCAATTTGTGCTTGAGCCTCACTACCATCTGATCACAAGCAGATGGTTATGCTTCACAAGCATCTGTCTGACAACAATTGCACTTAGTTACAGTCACAGGCAGCAATCACTTAGAAAGAGTTCTAAAAATAGACTGAATAATGTAAAGGTGACTTCTCCAGTTTCAATATATAATTGTCACAGTAACAGAAAAATTATTTCAATCAACACACGCATCTAAAAAGTTCAGGATCAGCCCCAAATTGAAAAACGGGCACTCATTTTAATAACAACATCCAACTTGTTCTCAGGCATGACTCTTCAGTCCACTGTGAAGTACCTCTAAAAAAAAGTCCTAGTTTATCCTTCACATGCATGTTGAGAAGTTTAGAACATGAGGAAACCACTGCTAGATACCTAGAGCTGCCTACCTTACACTGAGGTATGAACTTACTCAAAAACTCAGTGTGTTTTTAGATACTTCCTCACTTTTGCCAGCTGTTTTTATTCTCCTTTTTCAGACTTCTTCCTTACTTGCATATGTCCATCTCTATCAAAAGAAAACTAAGGCCTGACATTAGCATTTATTAGTATTTTTCAAAAAGTTAAAATAATAAAGCCCTTAGTCAAGCTTCAAGTTTCTCATGTAAAATTTTATTTACTTGAAGATAGATTTAGCTGTGAAGATTCCTTTGTATCTCAATAGATCAAAATCTGAGTCCCATGAAATGCTGTACTACCTCTTGGCTAGAGAAAGCATGTTTGTATAACAAACACTAGGGGGAAAAAAAGTTACTGACCTGCCTTCATTCTGCTCTTTATTAATAGATATATTTAAAACACATTTGAAGATATTTTTGTGTACTGTTCCAGTTTACTCTTAACATTGGAGCAGCTGAATCCAGGGAACTACATGGTTGCTTCATGAAACAGCTTATAAAGGTCATCCTGCCTTCCCATCTGACTGTGATTCAACTCAATTGACGTCTGACTTCATCTTACTGCATTAAAAAGGAAATTCATATGGCACCAAAAATGAATGTATATGTTATGCTATAACTTACAATGGATGAAACTTTTCTTACTATGACTGATTCAGTCATCATCCTCATGGTCCTAATAGCTGGTGCCATAACCTCTGTGCTGTAAATTAAAACACTCTCCACAGGAACCCCATGTCTTCCCCTTCAGAAGAGTCTACTGGTTTTGACCTCAAGAGTTGAAAATAATAATAGTTTTCTTTGAAGTACCACAGCTTAGGCTATCCCTGCAAGTATCTTTCAACTCCAATCACAGACATTTCTCTGAGCATTCAACTGAAATGTTATGATCCACCAGTTGTTACTAGCTGAGAATCTGCATTGGAAAGCTTAAAATTGCAGCAGCAAATGTGAGTGAGATGTCTAATTGACTTATCTTCTCAGATTTCTTTCCCTCAGAAAACCTGGCAGCAGACCTTGCCTGTGGCATTCAGAAATTATATAGCTCAAGACCTGTCAGCACAATTCTGATGAGTGTCCAGATGTTCTACAAATAAAAATCAAAGGCTCTGAGCAGGATAAGCTAAAGCAGATTGCTCAGATCTGTGTCCAGTCAGGTCTTGCATGTTTTCAGATATGAAGCCTCCACAGCCTCTCTGGGTAACTCATTCCAGTGCTTGACACACCTTACATAAAAAAAGTTCCTTTAATTCAAACAAATTATTTTTGTGGGGACCACCAATTAGACCCTGGTTCAATATTCTTTATTCCCTCCCATCACATATTACTTACATTGATAAGAACCCTGTTGAGTCTTTGCCTATCTTAGCTGAACAGTCTCATCACCTTCAGCCTCTCCATGACAAATATTTCAATCTCTTCATCACCCTTCATGGGCCATTCACTGCTCTCACTATTTTTTGTTCTGGGGAGCCCAGAACCAGACACAGGACCCCAGATGGGGGTTCCCCACAGCTGATAAGAGGAAGGATTGACCTGCAGATGACTATCCTCCTAATCCAGCCTTGGATGCTATCAGCCTTCCTTCCACAAGGGTGCATTGCTGGCTGGTGTTCAACTTGGTGCCCCAAGGACCCCTTGGTGGTTCACCACTAAGCTGTTTTCCAGTCAGTCAATACCCAATCCGTACTGATGTATGGGATTATTTCTTTCCTGGTGTAGGATTTGGTTTTTCCCTTTGCTGAACTTTAAGAGGTTCCTGTCAGACCATTTCTCCAGACTGTCAAGGTACCTCTGAGTGACAGCAGACCCACCTACTGCATCAAGCACTTCTCCCAGTTTTGTACTGTGCCCTCCCCTTGCTGAGGGTGCACTGTCCCATCGCCCAGGTCATTAATGAAGATGTTAAATAGCACTGGCCTGTGTGGACTTTGTGCTGCTGATGACAATCACATGAGCCCAGCAGCTGAGCCACACTGTCCAGTTATCTAGCCTGAACTGCAACAGGATGGCTGAAGCACCATATGAGCACCATGGATGATGAATATGAGGTTTCCTCTAGCTGTCTGAAAATTTACTAATTCTTCCCAATCACAATGTCTGTATTAGACACCCATAACAATACTGCCCTTGGTTTGTGCATTAATCCTGACCCAGAAGTTCTCAACCATTTCAACATCCACTACCAGAGCTCCATGCCTCTCTCATATAAAGGGCAACTCTCCCTCTTCAGCTTCCCAACTTACAATCATAGAATGGTTCAGGCTGAAAGGGAAGGTACCTTTAAAGATCACCTAGTTCACCCCCAGCGGTGTGAAAACAGATATCTTTCACTAAATCACCACTCATTACTGGTTTCCTGAGCCACTGGACACTGGGCCACTGACTTTACAGACATGGTCATGGATCCAACTTCTTATTCACTACAGAGTCCACCTGTCAAACCTGTATCACTCTAACAATAGCAGCAGGAATGTTGACAGAGGCCTTATAGAAGCCCAGGTAGATAACAAACATAGCTTTTCTCTAGTCCACTGATGCATTTACCCCATCACAGGACACTAAATTTGTCAGGCCCAATCTGCCCTTACTAAAGCAGTGTCGGCCATCTCTAACAACCTTCTTGTCTTCCATGTATTTTGACATGTCTTCCAGGAGGACCTGTTTCATGATCTTACCAGGGACAGAGATGAGGCTTACTGCTAAGTAGTTCCCAGAGTCCTCCTTTTTAACCTTTTTAAAAACAGGGCAATCTTCTCAAACGTGAATCAGATTACGGAATATAATCACTTCTCCGCAAGGTAACTCTTTCTATGGGAATCACGACAGATATGCATACGTGTGTGTGTGCCTGCAGTGGGATAGGTGGGATGGCATTCATCTTCACTTAAAAACCATGCAAAACAAAAGGCCATTCATGCACGCTTTTAAATTACATATCTTAGTCACTGAGTCAGTGACCTTTTCTTTAATATTTCTACGGCCTGAAGTATTCACCATCAGTCAAACAACATTAAACAAACAGCACATAACTTTTCCCTGCCAATCTTAATCGTAAAGACCAAATTATTAAGCAGCAGCCTTGCCCATCTAGAACACCCTAAGAAAAACAAGGCTACTTGTGAAGATATAAACCACAAGCTGGTAGAAACTTCAGTCTGTTTCACCAGTGCATGAAGAAACACCATCAGATGGAGTTTTGTGACAGAAATTTCAGCAACACAGCCATATCCTGAACTCCCCCAACAAGGCAAGTTCCTCACTTGACAAATGGGTTAAGAGAGGAAATCTGTGCAAAAAAACCCAATAAAATATCAAAATAGCTGGAGCATGGGTCCTGCTATTGACACGTTGCTACCACAAGCAGCAGTTTTGGTTCAGTTCCTGGACAGGGTTTAGTTACAACTAGAAGCTGTGATGTTGAAAGATAATTGATTCTTGACCCACAATGATCACCGTGCTAAAATTTACATTGCTATCCATTTTAATTATTCATAGCTGCAACACAGCTCTGCATTCTCATCTGGTTATTTTAATGATTCAACAGATTATAAATCAAGTGACAAGCTTCACAGCCACTTTATAACAACATCTTCTAAGGTCTGTGGTAAAATATTCTCCTTCATCCTCTGACTCAATTTTTTCACATAATTATCATATTAACTTCCTTATTTATATTGCAGTTTGTATCGTGCTTCTTAACGAAACACTACATTTTCCTAGATTGGAGTTATTTTTTCCACTTGTTTTTTATTCTTTCCTCCAAACACACACGCATGTATTTTTAATAAGCAACTCTGCAGTTCTCTAGGTTCTCACTCCAAATAAACTCGTACCTAAGAATGAAATAAAAAGATAACCTACCCTAAATTATTTCCAAGTTTTACTTGAAGAATCTTTTTATTTAAACTAGAAAATTCACTCCGCTGTGCTAATTCTCCAAATAGCTCAGAGTAAGTGCCCTATGTAGGACACCTCACAAAGAGCAGTTACGAAACCACTGAGATTTAACCACACTGGCAGTTTTCCTTTAATCTTAGTCCTTCATCATTATTTCTGCTCTTTTGCCTACTAGGAGTATTACTGGTCATTAAAAAAGCTGTATTCAGGGGCAGTGTATCAAAGTAAGTTACAGCAAAGACTGAACTCAGTATCATTTCTCTGAATATTGCTCTTAAATGAACAGCTACTTTGCAGCACCGTGCTATACTCCTGAATCTGAAAGTCCAAACTGTTTAATTAAAAATCATCTTTTGGTATCTATGTAACATTTTTTTTATAGCTGATTTACCTTTTTCATATGCAGGTGTATTCTCTTGCAGCAACCTGCTAAGCTGGAACCCATTCAAGTGCACAAAACGTAGTTGTTCTCTCATTGTCTTGCCTCCAACAACTGGCAGTATAAGGTTCCCAACACTATTTCTTGAAATTGGCAGACCAAGACCTACTGCCAGTGTGCTGGCTAAATCTGTTTGTTGCACACGTTCAGGTTGGGTTAGAGGACCTAGAATCAACAAAAGAAAAGAACAGGGGGAAAAAAAATGAGAAAGGTATTTCAATAAAAGGTCCATTCTATTTCTCCAGAGACAGCTGGCACCTTATTAGTTTCAAAATTTTTTCATTGCTGTTAGCTCAGCTATTTCAAGTGGTCTACAGAGAGCTGACTGATCTTTTTCAGCTGCTGTCCTCTGCTGCTGTAAATCCAAAATTTATTAAATTCTCAGCCAGTATCACTCTTCAATGCTAACAACTACTGTAAACACAACATGAATGTTATGTAAGTAAGAAAACAGATGGTCCAGATCACCTTAACATCAAGTTGCAGCCCACATCCTAAGAGGGTTTCATAACTTTCACATTAGAAATAGCAGGAACCACTAGAGGAGACTAATTTAATGCATGAACAAAGAATGAGAATCCAAAATAATGTTGACAGCATTCTAGAAGCTTCTCAATATAATGACAACAGCTCAAGATTCAATTAATATCAGGTTGCTAGGCAAACAGAATTAGAGATCAGGTAAAGAATGCTGAGGCTCAAAATCTGTAGCTGCATGCAGGCAAACTCAGTCATTTTTAAAGGGTTCTGTGCAGGATCCCATTAACTCACTGCAGTTATCAGGATTAACCTTCAGTCCCACAGACATTGGTACATGTGAATGATTTCATTAACATAAGTAACCTTTTGTTTAAGATTGCTGTGCCAATTGTTCCTTTGCATGTTGAACTAGTTACGCAGCAGTATTTTTCTACTATGCTTTTGTTTTGTCCTCCTTGTAACTCCAGGCACTGAGTGTTTTAACTTAAGGACAGTACAGAAAGAATTCTATATAGTCTTTATTACTCCCAAGGCTCCCTTCAAGAGCATTAGAACTTCTCTCATTTCTCATCTATCTAGCTCCGATTAATCCCATATTTGTACAGAATGCCATCTATAATCCGTAAAGCGTCTTTGCATGAGTGCCTGTATGTCAGCAGTTTTCAGATTTTATCTTTAAAGCCAAGTACTTAACTGGTTAAAAAAAAAAGCCAAACTACCAACTGCATTTAGCCAATCATGGGTGACGCATCTCTGTAGAAGGCTACACGAGTAATATTCTGACAGCATACTAAATGCAAAAAGCCCACAGGATTACTATTTTGAGGTCTACCAAATTAACCACAGTACATTTTGTTTACAGTAGGAGCAGTCACTATAATCCTAATTATTGTACCAATGAGAAGTAAACTGCTGGATATTTACAAACGCATCATTCGAAATCACAAACTCTATCCCAAAAGACAGGTGAAGAGATATATTTCACTGTATTGTAAAAACAGTATCTTTAGTTTAAACCTAACAGAAAGCAATCCCAATGAACAGGAGACTGCATTTACAGAATCTACACTCTCATGGCCTGGCAGTCAACACATACTGGTGAAATTCACAAAGCAAAAGCTTATCCAAGAGTTTTGGTCCACTCTTGACTTTGTTTTGTTTTTAGACCCAAGAAGAGTTCAATGAGTCCTCAAGCAATGCTTTCTATTGCAGTTGAATAACAGCCTTATAAATGACAGACAGAAAAATGTACTTTACTGTGCTGCAGGAATCTCCAGCAAGATAAACAAACGAATGTTCTGCAAACAGGCTTTAAAAGCAAAGAAATCAGATGGAAATGAGCAAAAGGCAGAATGAAAGGCAGAAGAAAGCACTGTAAGGGAAAATATTCACTTCTGGTGAATATCACTTCACATTTCACCAATTCCCTCAGTCAAGGAGGAGTTTCTTTAAGCACTACTACAGAAATTAGACTAAAGATTCTCTACCACTCCATTTCCTTCTTGTCTCTTACCTTAAGCTACTTTACTTTTATCTTTCATTATTATCTACAAGTAGAAAATCAGTTTCAGAAACATACCAACTCATATCAATGATATAAAATTAACTACAGTAAATACACTCATGCTCCATATTCTTTCCTTAAGGCTTAGCCATCAATAGTCATGTTTTCACTGCTGTCACCTCTCACGCCTTCACAGAGCAATTCTTCCTCCTGCCTGTTAACTCTCAGTATGAGAAACTAATTCATTTCTCTGTCCTAGCTGAGAAGGAAGAATGGAGGCCAAGGAAATATTCTGGAAAATACAAAGACAAAACTCACTTCAAATAGGATTTTGCTTCTAAACCTATTTATTTACCAATAGCCCAGGATCTTGACCACAGATCTTGTTAGCTCTCAACACTCAGCTAAGGTAGTACTGTAGAAAATTATCATCCAAAAAATACACAATTCTCTCAACGGTTACAAAGCTTAACTCATGGTTTTATCATGATACAGATGCTAGCTTTGGCTAAAACCAGAGCTTTGGGTCACATAGAATGGGCCTTGTCAGATAGTTGTAGAAGAAATCAAAGTACTTTTCAGGAAGAATTCTAGAGCAAGTATAAATCAGAGTTGCCAATGTGTCCTTGGCCTGGTTTCAGCTGGGATAGAGTTAATTTTCTTCCTAGTATCTCATACGGGGCTATGTTTTGGATTCAGTATGAGAATAATGTTGATAATACCCTAATGTTTTAGCTGTTGGTAAGGTTTACCCTTAGTCAAGGATTTTTCCATTTCCTATGCTCTGCCAGTGAGCAGGTACACAAGAAGTTGGAAGGGAACACAACTGGGACAGCTGACCTGGACTGGACAAAGGAATAGTTCATACCACAGAGCATCTTTCCCAGTACACAAACTGGAGGGAGTTGACTGGGGGCTGTCCATTGCTTCTTGGGGACAGGCTGTGAACCTATCAGCAGGTGGAGAGCAATTGCACTGTGCATTACTTGTTTCTCTTGGGCTTTATACCTCTCCCTCTCTCCTTTTCATTACAATAATAATTATTATAATCTACACCTGATTATTGTTGTTGTTACTGTTACAGTCATATATGGCAGTAGTATTCTCAGACTATGAGGGTGCACTATGCACTGGTATCTACTGGAGCCTTACACCAAATACCACACAACAGCACACTCACTCACACCCCCACCCTTGGTCGGAGGACAATCAGAAAGAAAAGGTAAACCTCCTGGGTTAAAATAAGAACAGTTTAATAATTGAAACAAATAAAATATTATAATAATAGTAGCAATGAAAAGGAGAGAGGGAGAGGAATAAAACCCAAGAGAAAGAAATTATGCACAATAAAATTGCTCCCCACCTGCTGACTGATGTCCAGGCCCTTCCCAAGTAGAGATTGGCAGCCCCCAGCTTATATACTGGGCATGATGCTCCATGGTTCAGAATATCCCTTTGGCCAGTTCAGGTCAGCTGTCCTAGCTATGCTCCCTCATGGCTTCTTTTGCACCTGCTCCCTGCCAGAGCATGGGAAAACAGGAAAGTCCTTGATTCACAGTAAGCACTAAAATATCAGTGTGTTATCAACGTTATTCTCATACTGAATCCAAAACACAGCCCTGTACCAGCTACTAAGAAGAAAATTAACACCATTGCATCAGAAACCAAGACAGTTCTGAAAAAGTTCTTCGATCCTTACCACTTCTCTTTTCAAAAGCAGAGCTGATAAACAGAAGAGGTGTGTGCACTTCTCCTTCTGAAGAACCACCATGACTACCCGTTTCAGACATCCCGTGATCCCCACACACAACTAGCAAATTGGGCAAAGAAGCTTCTTCCTGCAAATCACAGAAAAAAATTTAAGTTATTGTACTAACACGAGTCATATATATCACTTCACTATCTCTATCATTTTCAAACATGAATATGTCTCAAAGTGAATTTAATTTTTTTAAACTTGCTCACAACACCTGGGGCAGATAACAAGAGATGTCTGCAGCTAAATGTTGTGCGGTAATAGTAATTTTTAGAAGGCACATACTTACTAACAGACTTGTCAATATATCAGGAAAAAACTCACCAAAAAAAAATCCCAAACTTTAAAAAACCCCTTAATTTACAGTCTCAAAAAATTCACCAAAAGATTAAATAAAGGCTATCACACTGAGGGAAGAAAATCGGGAGTCCAGGAACAGTAGCATTAACAGAGAAGTATTTCCCACTTCCTTTCTTCACCTTCACTGAGTGGTTAGTATACATGCTGAATTATTAATATTGCAAATGGTAAAATAATATCAATTTAATATGAAAAATAATCCTATTTCTAATACTCTCTAGTGTCTCAAGCATTTTTGGAATCATGACTGATGTTAAACAATGTATATGTTTCTGAATAAAGAGAACAACAGAAGTGTGAGGCCTGTCCAAGAATTCTGAGCTAACAAATCAAAGATGGCAGAAAATAAACAGTCAATCCACAACAAAGTCGTTTTTTGTCATCTCTAGTTATTACCAGTACCTGTTCTACCCAAAAAGTAAAGTGCCTTTATTACTCCTGTATTCTGAAACTGAGATAAAGGCTTTCAGTTGACAAAAGCAAGCATACTAAAAAGCTGTAGCAAAACCACTACAACATTCATGGAGCTTCCACACACAGGATTTAATCTCTCCTTTCATACAACAGTATCCATTTGTCTAAAAGTACTACTGAAATTTTGTGAGCAGCTGTTCTGAATTGCAGTTGCCAAAAACAAACAAGAAAAATGCTTCGGGTTTCTTGGAATTAGGACTTGGTAGTTCAACATCCAGACACGGATGTTTAGGTAATTGACAACCTGTATATCCAAACCTAAAAACAGGTTCAGATGTGCTGCATTTAGCATAAGACAAAATGTAGTTTACAACCACCATTTCCATTTGAATTTTTCAAATATCTAAGAATTAGGTATGCCTTCATAACTGTAGACATTAGAGCCATTAGCTTTACATGCCCATTACTCCTCCCGTTGAATTTCATTACTAGAAAGTACACCAACCACCATCCTAATTCACAAGTGATAAGAGAATTTTGGCATGCATTCCTCTTGCTGCACACCAAGAGGGAGTTATTTCCCACAGCTGCTCAGAGGAGGCTCTTAACAGATGTTACTAAAGTCAGCCAGTAAATCCTTAAAAATGCTACACTGTACTGTTAACTGGGGAATGTCCTGGGAAGGGAAGGAAAAGAACTGAAGAATACCCACTTCAGTCCAGGAATAAACGAGCTACCATCCACAACCAGCGAGCATTTTAATGTCAGTCCACAAGTAACAAGACACTGATCCAAGAAGAAGCTATATTACCTTTGAAAGAAGAGAAATATGAATCTTCTTCAGTATGTTATCCATTTCACGAAGTTTTGGTCCCACTAATGGGCTGTTTGGCCCACTAATATGTCCAATATGGTCCAATCCCAGGTAATGTAGTATTAGGATATCCCAGTCTTCTCTCTTTAACACTCTATCCAAATGCCTGGTAACATTGTCATCAACCTCAAAGAAAAGGAAAACAATTAAAAGGTAAAAATAACTTCTCTCTTGTAAAAAGCATGGAAAAATTAGATCGCACTACCCATGAAAATTCTGCAGAAGTTGATGAGAATTACAGTCACTCACAAGGTTAATGAGAGAAAAAAAATCAGACCAATTAGTTCAATGTCAGGCAGTCAAATATATTTCTCTTACAAAAGAGATAAAGAGATTCTTCACCCCAATTACTTGTTTCTGGTCATGATGCATCAGATTACATACAAACAAGGCAAACAGGTTGCCAAGCTTCCACAGAAACTTAAACCACTTTCATCCTTCGCACTCTTGATCTCTCACTTCACAAATTGTCAAGTACATAAAGTATTGTAAGCACAGGGAAAAGCCTCTGTTTAGTGCTTGGAATCACAGGAGGGCAAAAAACCCACACTTGCTTTTTCAACTCAGTTTTTGCTAGGCAAACACAAGAAGATTGTACTTGCTACGAATGAAAGAACTGGCAACATAGTGAGAAAGTAAAATTATTTGAAAAGTGCTATTTGGAGCCTAACTTACCTGTTTTCCTGCTTAGGCTGACAATGCATTTTTAGTTGCATATTTTCTCCCTGGATATTAAAAATCCTTATAATATTTCACATGCAACATCACTTTGCTGACTCTGGATATAAATACCAAAAAAATCTATAAAAAGCTGTGTGTTCAAGGGACTATATTCAGACAGATAAAGACTGCCTAAAGAGTTTGAGAGTCACAAAATCACAGATCTAGCAGCATACTTGCATTTTTCCACTGCACGTTGAAGCTTTTGCAAGTCTTACTAGTGTAACCAGTTAGAAGTGTCTTCCAATCCATTTAGACCTTTCTAACTGCCTTACACATGTTAATAAAATATGTCAGTAGCAGTGAGTCAGCAGCCTGAGGTTTAACAAACCATAAAGGTTCAAGAATGAACTAAAATTGCTAAAGCATTTACTCTTTTAGTGTGTCCAGAGTAAGAATTTTCACAATTTGTTTCATTTACTTTCTGTGCTCCTTCTTTGATAACATTATGAAACACTACTCCTATTGCAATTACAAAAGTGATGCAATACTACAAAAGTATGCCTCTAGAAGACCAAGATAATCTATTAATTGGCTGCTTAAGGACGGCATTAACTAATATAAATACGATAGCAAACTGGAAACGTGGAGAGTGGAATTTTTAAACAAAGCAACTGGTCTAACTTCCTACCACAAGAAGTTTTGTAAGAAAATCGTACATTTAGGAAAGTTATACAGTAACTGCATCATCCAAACACTTCCCACAGCATATGCACGAAGGACTGAAATGCTTAGCTCCACAGTGCCCATACCATCCACACATGTAAATCCAATTTCTATTTAATTGCCAGGTGCGTATTTCAGAACAAGGATAGCTTTACTCATTCACTCTTAGAAGTTGCCACTGTGTGTTTGTATTCACTTTATTTACCTTGGGATCATACAAAGCCTCTCACCTCTGTAAAGTCTGACACAAAAAATGATGTAGTTCCATCATATTCCATGAAGTGCTTTGGGAACAATTTAACCCATGTATCATCACCATAAAAGATTATTCTTTTCCCAGCTGCTTTTGCCTGCCATATCAGATTGTCATCTAACAGAGCTGGAGAATTGAGGTTCACAACAACATCAATGAAACCAGGTATGCTACCTGTCATCAAAGCCTACATGAAACAAGAAAAGAGACAACATTAAACAAGAAGCTTCCAGGGATCAGAAGACAGTAACAGTGTAAGCAGGAGGAAGCAATAAACCAGATGGCAGGCAAATTATACTTTAAGTAAAGAAACATAACAAAGTAAAGGAACACAAGCTGCCCTGGCACATAACCTCACCTGCCACAATACAGTGCTAATTGATGTCAGAGATGATGGCTTTACAAAAGCTAAAAATAATATTGTCTTAACTAGTGGACAGCAAAATGACTTTGTATGACTTAGCTGAAATTTGTTTCATTTACTAGTCATTAAATCACCAAAAAGGTCTAAGTAAACTGACTCAACATTCACAATGATAGTACATTTGAAACACTAAATAAGAAACGTCTAGGAAATGAAATGAAGTCCACCTACCAATAGTTACCAGACTGTTTCCCACTCACTCTCTCACTGGCCTTCTAGTTGACCTACAAAGATCACTCCCCCAGCTTCTTCAATGCAGTGGTGTCACTCAGATCCATCACTGACAAGTCTGGATGATCAAGTATTTTGATGATACCACCACAATTAATCTTTTAGTTACATAAAACTTCACACAGTTTCCTTTTTAAGTTCTTCAAAAACATCCTTATGACAAAACAATTTAATACTAAACTGGATTTTCTATCCAAGTTACAAGAACACAGAGAAATAAAATATGTTCTTGGATAGAAGACCAGCGGGAAACTTGACAACTGAGAAGCTACTGGCTTTCCCATGACTGCAAATAAAGAGATTATGCACTAGGGCCTTAACCTCTGGGTGATGGCAAATCAGGACTCTATCACATGCACTCCTACAGCTAAGAGAGATCCAGCCACAACAAACCTATCCTTTATGCCAACTCCAAGCATACAAAACAAACACTTCAAAACTTTCTCAAATGAAATGGGAAAAAAAAAAAATAATTTACCTTAATTCGAGGCATAGTCACAGTAGGTGGCTTTGCTTCAGCAATGAAGCTGTAGGAAGTCCCTTTTTCAACAACTTGCGTAGTATATGGCATGAACTGTTTCCCTTTGGATCCAAACACAAAGTCATCTCTCAAAGCATCTATCAGCACAATGACAACTTTATTGAAAAGCGGTGCAGGAATCTTGGTCCAGTTGGAAACCATTCCTAAGCAACAAAAGCAGAGTACACAAAAGTCATTAACAAATTTTACCAAAGACTAGACAGAAGTTAAAAGGATAACTTCACCACAGAAATGAGTGCTTTCAACTCCTTTATTATTTTTACATTTGGAAATGAGAAATTGCAAACAACAGCCAATGTGAGAAGTAATCAGAGGATGCTGGGTTTTCAGGCCATCCAGCACAGGAATAACACAACTGCAACTCCAACAAAGCATCTAGGAAGTAAAACAAAATGTGAATGGAATGTGTGATGTGAAATCGGGAAAACTGAGGAAAAGCTTTGAAATGGACAATGTACAAAGCAATAAGAAGGGGTAGCTGCTACTTTCCCTCTTGTTAATTCATTAAAGCTGAACTACACATATATCTGACAGACTTTTTTTTAAAAAAAAGATGCTACATTCACTTGTACTAACACACAATTTTGCACATCAGAACACAAGCATAACAGGAAAATTACAAAGAAATATGAGATAGCAGAAAAACTACAAAGAAATAGACAATTTCACTGAAACTTGAAGGTAAAAGATCTGTGCACACTTGCTCCCTTCAGGATAGAAGACTGTATGCCAGGCTAGTTCGGTGATGGCAGCTGCAGGGCCAAAATCCAATTCCAGAATTCCCAGAATGTGGTACAAGGGCAGGCACAGCAACATGCTGCTGTGCATCAAGCAGTAGGCAATGTCATGCCTTCAGGGCCACCCTTGTCTTGCACAGACTTAATTCTGGCTGCAGCAACTCTTGATCTGCATTCAGTTCGGTCCACATGATGACATTAAGCTCTTGGCTCACCCTCTACAAGTCTCATTTCTTTACCAGGAAAACACACAGAAGGGCAAAACGGAAGCAGAATGCACCCTACCCACAGACCTCTACTCAGACAAGATTGTGTTTAATCGACTTTTCAGTACATGCATTACATAAAGCTAGGGTTTCTACACTCCTTTAGAATAAAGTTTGTTTCTGCATAAGTGGTTGACAATTTGGAAAGGTCACAGATAGTGGTGTGCCTAATACAAGAAACTCAAAAAAAAACCACCAAAAAAACCAAAAAAAACCTCAGAAACTGTGTTTTGGAGTACACAGATAAGCATCAATAAACTGATATTCACAGACTCGTTACTGCTAATGATTTTTCCAGATCAGAAAATGATGGAGGAGGGCACAGCAGGGGGAAGAAGGAAATCTCAAAAACAATAAAATGCTAACTACCAGCAACCCTAATTAAACTGATAATTTTGGTTTAACAGGACTTGAATTATCAACTAAAAGGCATGCTTCGGCTCTCCATGAAAAACAAGAAGGCACCACTGGATGTACTGTCGGTAAAATCTTTCTTGTAATTTACTCCTATCCACTAGTGAAAGAAAGCTTCCTGGACACCAAAAATGGTCAGATCATAAACACATATACCCTTCTCCTAAGTTTCTCCTGCACTGTAATTCATCAGTAAGTCAAAGTATTGAGAAGTTCAAATGAATTCTGAGTCACAAGCCATCTGAAAATACTTACTGTAAGATAGTGAAAACAACACATGGTGCAAGTCTTGGCATGTGGCATGCTTATTTAGGGTTACTTACTTAGAGAACAGTTACTTTAAATGAAGCTGAACTTCTGCAAGCAGTGAAGAAAACCACAGGTTCTCCATCAAAAACGTCCTACAATGATGTGCTGCAAGGATTCACTACTACAGACATCCCACAGGCACGACAGCATGGAGTCAATGGCAGCCAGGACTCACAGAGGAAACATGCAGGAAATACAGAGACCCTGGGGAAATAATCTTTCCTGAATAGACCTAAAGTAGGTTGAAAGCCTTCTGCATCATGTGTTTAGTAAGCAACACCTTGCCTTTAGAGCTTACCGTTCAGACCAAGAGATCACTGTGCAAGCAAATCATAACCCAAGAACTACAGAAAGAAAGTGTTCTTCCACTGTCACTCCATTTTTGCCTACTACGCCTGGGATTACCAGTGACACGCCTAAATTTAAACTGCCTGTAGAGCCCTGTGGTGCACACTAACACTCTTCAGCACAAATCAGTCCTTCCAAAACCCAGTTATCTGACATCTCCGTCCCACCCAAGCAGTCTCCCTCTGCATTAGTCTCCAGCCAATAATCACATGTGAATGCAACATTTCACTCACAGCAGCCTATCAAACATCTCTGGCAGTCTTGGTAAACTCCAGCTAAAAAGCAACCTGCCATCCAGCAAAATCCACTCAGGTCTGTTACCAGATTAGATTCTTTCACTGTCCCTGCTTAATTGGTATCAGCACATCACATTCTAAATTACACAACCTTCTCTTCCCTCCACTGCATCTCACAATTCAAGTCACGACTCGAATGATCCTTGTGGATCCCTCCCAACTCAGAATATACTGTGGTTCTACAAAAAAAAAAAAGTCACACACTTTGGAAGAATAACAACAAATAACAAGCAGCTGAAGACCCAGCTTGGTAGGTACAGTCCTGTTCCACAAAGTTACTAAGTAGATGTCCCGAGCAAGAGCTTTGTACGAGCAAAATAACTCCTACTCTATTCAGCTGCCCACTGAACCTGAAGTTTCACCCTACAAGCTCCAAACACTGGTGAAGAAAGAACACTCCTTCAAGTACACAGTCCTCTTCTTCGCATTACTTTAATGCAACTTGAGACTGAACACGTAAAAAAGTTATGTTATCAACATGTCCTCTACTGACTCCTCATTTCAAAGACGCTTGAAAACTTTGGTTTCGCCAATTCAGCTACAGAATAGAGCAGGACCTGTAAAGGCGGTGATTTCACAGAAATGGTAATGGACAGCGATACTGTGCACGTTGCAATCTGCATTGCTACAGTCACTTTGTCGCTACTGAGGTGCTAAAATCCCAACGAGGTGGCATTAAGACGCTCACACAACACAGAAGCATCACAGACACGATGGTTCTTGGGCACAACACAACCAGCGAGTTAACAGAGCAATCACTCAGGCGTTTGAACTGAGATGGCATCATTTAATGCAAAAAACTTGCCATTAAACAGGAGGGGTATGACGGCAACATCGGCGTCAGGGAACGGGGAATAAAAGGACAGGAAAACCCTTCAGAGACGTGACAGCTGACGCTGGAGGCTTTTTGCCACATTGAGCAGATGCTGCTGGCAGTAATTGACAACTACATGGAAACCAGCTAAGTTCTAAACTACTCCGGAAGCAGTTCTGGAAGCACGAAGGCGTCTCCAGAAAGGTGTCCCGCGGCACCGAGGGAGAGGGCGCGGTGGGCGGCTGCTCGCGTTACCTGGGCCGGGCGGGGCCGGCTCGGCGGGAGAGTCCGCACGGGCCTCTCTGCGGGGCAGAGACCTGACGGGCACCGGGAAGAAGCCGCGGAGGAACAGCGCGACGCCCAGGGCCTGCACGAGGAGGCAGGAGGAGGCGAACACGCCCGAGCGCAGCCGCATCCTGGTACGGACCCGGCGGTGGTACCGGTAGCAGCCCCGACCCGTCCCGGGCGGCGCTGCGCCGGCTCTGCGGGGCGGCCCCGCCGGCGGTCCGGCCCTGCCGCCGAGCCCCGCCCCCGGCCCGCGCCGACCAACCAGCGACCACCGCTCGCTCCCGCCGAGCTCCGCTATTGGCCAGAGACGACCCCGCCCCTTCTCGAGAGAGAGGCGGCAACGCCGGGCCGGAAGTAGGGCTCCGCGTGCCGCCCCCTCAGCGGCGAGCGCGGATCCCGAGCCGGGATCCGGCGTTCTGGATCCGCATCCCGCATCCCGCATCTCAGACCCGCGTCCCGCATCTCAGACCCGCGTCCCGCATCTCAGACCCGCGTCCTGTGTCTCGCCCCTCCCCGCCCGCGTCCCACTCTCCCGTCCCACCCCTGTTCTCTGCAGCCCACCCCGTGTCCTACCCCTGCGACCCACCCCCGCGTCACTCCCCGCCATCCCACCCCGCGACCCGGCCCCGCGTTCCCCAGCGGAGAAGGAGCCGCTGGAGCGGGAGGTGAAAGGAGACTTTATGTAATGTTGCAACAAGGAGAGCAGGGCGGGTGAGGAAGGAGTCCAAGCCGGGGACTGCTGCAGGTGTTTGGCAAAGCAGAACCTTTCCTCTCCACGCACGCACACATTCCTCAATACAATTGAATAGTGACAACCTTTCAGTCTTTCCACTGGAATGGAAACAGACTGGAGCAGGTGGGTCATGGCAGACAAATGGGGAGAAATAAGTTTTAAAGGTTTAAGAAACTGAAGACACTCTGCAAAGTGAAGCAGTTTATACTGGTCTCGCTATTGCTCATGGATTTAGGATGATAGCCTCGGAATTTCATTCTTCCAAACAAAACTGCTTCTCATCTCTGCTGGGGCAGTTCTTGTACGGCCCACCATTCCACCAGCAAGGTGTGGTAGGTGTTTCTGCAGCGTAAGTGACAAGTCCTTAGCATTACCTGTGAGTGGCACGTTTTCCCCAATCCCGCAAGTGCAGTGCCCCAAGGCTGCGCTCACATTTACACCTGGACTTGGCTGGCTGGGGTCGGTCCCGGGACAAAGCTGCACTGCCACAGTTTGCAGCCCTCACCCACAGTTTTGTGTGTTGATGTGACACTACAAGTGACTCCAGAGTGTTTTTCCTGCTGGGCCTTTTGCCTCAGCACAAAGTGTTACCTGTTTTGTGTAAAGGCAGGCCAAATACATTGTACCATGATTTTAAAAATGTTTTCTGGCTGGAGTTTGTCAGTCTGTGGTTTTACTGCCAGCTTTTTCTGGCCAACTCTCCATACTTTGCAGCAGCTGTCACGAGGCAAAGTTGTCCTGATGTGAGAGGCATGTGTGAGTGGGTTTGGGAAAAAAGCTTTGTGTAACTTCAAATTCCTTTTGGCCTTTCCTAGGGCCTCCAAGGGTAGAGAAAAAATCAAGGAGCCTTTTGTCCTGTGGGTTTGTGCTGTTTACATGGAAGATTGGGTAATAGATCTCTGAGCGCTGTGATACCTTTAGGCTTCCTAAGTGCTTTTTCTGGTCACTCTTTATGCATTATGCTCCTACTCAGACTAATTCTAATGTTTTCATTTCCTAAGAAGATCCAAAGCCATTATGTTAAGAAGAAATTGCATTTTTGCAGATGCTGTTCACTTGTTTCTTTCCAGAAGCATGACTCTCAAGGCCTATGAAAATTACTATTCAGTAGTTAACTGCAGCTCACTATGGGCAGTGCAACGAAATTCAGAGAGAACATGCAGAGAGATCAGTAGGAAAGGGAAAAAGGAAACTTTTGGCCATTGTGTAAAAGCTTAAAATTGGCTTCAGGTAATGTGCTTTAGAGTTACATTATTTGTATGTTCAGAAAAGCTGTATTTGTTGCTTTTCATGGGGATTTTCTGCTCTCCTTTAAACTTTGAACTAGTGAGTGAGACTCTTCAGGCAGAAAATAAGAAAGATTCACTAACAAATATAAAGCACCCTAGTGTGGTCAGTGTTTATAAATCACGAAACAGCATCTAAGAAACATCTGTCTAATGCTTTCATGGACAAATATTGGTTTCCTTTGTAGGAATAAGGTGGAAACTCCCCAAACACTGCGTCTTTCTCCATCATTTACAGACATAGATACACTTGCTGCCACGTGATTCACATTCCCCAGGACTTATCTCTGGGCATTTACTGAGTACTATCATCATTTGGCAATTTACTGCAGCAACACTCTTTCAAGTCCATTGCTATTGCACTTAGCTGCAGGGATCAAATATAGGGAAAATCCTGAGTGCTGCACAAGACTTTAAATCTGACTGAGTCTATGAGTCTATGAGCATAATTACAGCATAATATACTCACAATCACTGCTCTGCAGTTCTGGGGCCCTTTTACAAGTGTTTGAGTATAACCTACTCTGTTGTGCATAGCACATTTATGCCCTGTGAGAGCTGGTGACTTCATGAGAATTCAAAGGAAATGTTTGTGTGCTCCCCAGGTTTTAAGCACACAACCAGTGTTGTGTGCATCAATTTGTGTCAAGGGGCACTGACTGACTTAAATAGCCTATAGAAGGTTAAAGGTTCATGTCAGGGTGTCAGAAAAGTGCAATAAAGTGCAATTCATGTGATTCAGGAGACTGTAGTTTCATCAGGGCCAGCAAGCATTTTAGAACACGGTGCAACTCGTCCATGTGGGAGATGAATTTGCATCACTCCTTGCAGGAGCAGCGTGTTGCCACTCAAGCAAACTTACCTCTCTGTGTCTTGAGGAAGAAGAAGGAATTTAAGGTTCTGTGCAAAGCCCTCACTAGAGGCATTGTTCCAAATCTGCTGAGAAATCGGCTGACAGAAAGCCAACCAAGCCTTGTCTTCACCAGGTGTACCTAGCACTGGTTCCTCGAGCAGTAGGAACATGTTTTGGTGAGCCTCTTTGCAACCAACTTTTAAAGCAGCCAAGTGATATTGTTAATGTCTCTGGCATACCTCAGAGCTTTTCTTTACTAAGGCAACAAGTAAAAAGCAGATAAGGCAAAAATTTGGTGTGTCCCATGAGAGAGGAGCACACCACCTTCCAACAGTCTCTGTGGCTTCTGCCAGCACTTAATGAAATGCTGCCCGTTAGTCAGTGCTCAGCGTGTCTACTTCCCCCACTCGTTTTCCTCTGATTCTTTGACTTCTTATGTTTCACAATTTGACTGGGAAAAAAGGCCAAATCTTCCGTTCTCCTCTAGTTTCAAACGCAGCCAATATGCAGCCAATTTCCTCGGTATCTATTTCTTTCCCCTTCTCTTACTTAACCTTATTTTGACTGATTCCCTTGTAGTTTTACTCTCAGGTCTCTTTGCCTGGTGTTAATAACTTCTAGGGATCTGCAGCTTACCACCTTGGTCTTTGAACTGCCTCAGGTATTCTCCCTCTGGGGGCCTAATTTAACAGGATTTCATATCTGAGTGCGTGTGTTTATGTGAAACCTGCACACTTCTTCTGACCTTGACAAGGTCAGATATGTGAACATCTCATGCCAGTGGTTTAAACAAGCATCCTTTTCTGTGATCAGAGTGATACCTCTTAAACTTGTTCCTAATACATTCAATACTGTATTGGGGAACACACAGGGGAGTGGCAACAGTGGCAAAATTGATGTGTATAAGCAAAAGCCACCGTTTTTACACAAAAGGGGTGTGAAGCATATCATTTAAGTGAAACAGGCAGGAAAAAAAAACCAAACCAAAACCTGCTTCACAAGGTGATCTGACTCTCCGAAAGCACTACTATGTAGTTTGAAATCCAGAAGGACACACAGAATTTTTTTTTCTGCTATCATTTCTCCATTCTTCAGTATATGGCAATTTGAATGTATGTCATGTCTCTGCTGTATTAAGCCACAGTAAAATATCAAAAAAGGTTAGCAAAGACTGCCTGCTGAAGTGTGATTCTCTCTCCTCCATCCTGGTGCACTGCAAAGTCTCCAGAGGTTTGCAGTTGCTGAACAAAAAACAATGCAGAAGCACTGTCATTGTAAACCTGCTTCTCAAATCTTAGACTGAATAGGAACCTCTGCACATAGAGGAGAACTGAACAGAAAAAAAAAAATAAATAAATCAATAGTTTTATCCACATCAAATAATTGATTGTCTGTCTTTACAGACACACACGTGCACACACACGCACGGGCTAAACCTGCCTTCAGGTTTAGCTACTTTGGAAACTATGATTGCAGAGCTTATGGGATTTGAGATTGAGGCAACCAAGGGATCACTGAAGAAGATAGCCCCTGATAACCTCTGAGGTGGTGAGCTGCGGGAAGCCAAAGTCTGGTTTGTTTCTGTAGACTGCAGACCTGCTACTTGCCTGCAGTACGAAATTACTTGCTTTTGAAGGGGAGGCAAAGCTACAGAGCAAGAACTAATTGAAGCAAGAGGCTGCTTGTTAGTTTCCCCCAGAGCCCTGCACTCAGAGCTTACACAGCTTAGTAGCAATATCTCTATCCCCCTCTCTCTACACAGGGTTGCAGAGGGATGTAAACAGTCATTCTGTCTTAAGAAAGCCCTGGCTTTAGAGCCGCATTTAGAGTGCTCATCCAGGCAGCTTCTCTCAGAGCTGCAACCATGCACTGGGATCACTGAGCATGAACCCCACATGGAGCTGCTGGTTAGAACAGATCACAGGATGCTGTGACCCAATGGTCGTTTTTTATTTGGTCTAAATGGGCTGGATAAAACGTGAACAAAAAGGAGAGTAAAACCTCAAGGAAAAATTCCAAAGCCACTTAAGTAGATGTACTGATTCTGGTAGTAAAAACGTCTGAAGCCCCTGTGAAATGCCAGTAGGCTCCACCAGTGATCTAACCCTCAGGGCAGGCACTGCAAGTAGGAGCCAAATCGGGGCCCAGCTAAAGCAACAGCTTTTCATTATGCATGAAAATTAACCATAATCACTCCTCCCTAAAATTTTAACTCCTTATCATGCTGTCTCTTCCTTTAATCCCATTTTCTTTCCTAGTCTGCTTCTTTTCCCCAAGGCAAAAGCTTTTGCAGTCATGCTCCGTGTTTGACAGTCTCTCTCCTGCTCTTCCTGATAGACTTAGCT